CCGCAATTGACTGTGCCGAAAGTTTTGTGACCCCCCCGTCGCGTTTTCCCATTTCCCATTTCTCAGCTCTCTCGGCTCAATTGTTGGGCGAACTGAGACTGAGACCAGGGACTACCATCCATCATCGCCGCAATTTGTACGGAGGATTGGGCGGCGCAGATAAGGCCGAGAGCGATGGTAGAGCCCTGTTGCATGCCCCCCCAAAAACTGTCGCACGACTGAATGTTGCACATTATGTCTAAGGGGAAAAGAGAGATGTGTTGCCTCTTCACAGCCACTGGATATCAATTACCTGCTCCTGCTCCTGCTTCTACTCCTGCTTCTGTTCCTGCTCCTGCTTCTGCTCCTGCTTATGCTCCTGCTTCTGCTCCTGCTTCTGTTTCTGCTTCTGTTTCTGCTTCTACTCCTGCAAACATGCACCAAAGTTCTATTAAAACAAAGACCAAAACCTCACATGGATCCAAAGTTAGATGGGTAATTTAGGGAAGGGCGATTAAAGCAAATATTACAAATTAAATGACAGCAAAGCAAGAACTTTTGATGAACTTGTCCGAAAACTAAACCAATTTGGAATGTGGAATATTATCTTAACAATGATACATAATACATTGAAAATATTACGGGTTTAATTTAAAGTTTCGAGTTTAGTTTACAAAATTTGCAGCGGCAAAATCGACATTTGATAATCATTCAAATTACTTATAAAAATAACAAATTATTAAATAAATAATAAAATAAATAACTAAATGAATAAATAACTAAATGAATAAATAAATAAATAAATAAATAAATAAATAAATAAATAAATAAATAAATAAATAAATAAATAAATAAATAAATAAATAAATAAATAAATAAATAAATAAATAAATAAATAAATAAAAAAATAAAAAAATAAATAAATAAATAAATAAAGAAATACACAAATAAATAAATCAAAAATAAATAAATACATAAATAAATAATATATAATTAGTTATATTTTTATAAAAAGTATAAATAATTAAAAAAAAATAATAAAAATTTTTAAAAATCACTAACTTGACACTATAATTCCCAACTAGTTCTACCATATTCCATGTGGTAACCCAGCTGAATGTTGAGGTCGAGTGGTAGAGGTGCTTCCGTGGTTGTGTGCTGGCAGTGTGGTAGTGGTTACTCTCTCCCAAAAGAGATGATACTTGTTGTGTTACAGTGTACCCTGTCTCTCTTTTGATGCTATTTGTTTTTCAAGTCGAGAGAGAGGGAGAGAGTGTGTGTGGCTCTGTGTGCGTGGGATAGTGTAAGATTTACCTTTCTTTCTGTAGCAAAGCTAGGAAGAGAAGAGGGTTTGAGATTGATCAATCAGAGGAAGGACATGTACAAAAGTGAGTACACAGAATTTTTATTTTTTTTTTTTACTTCAAGATCTTGTTAATTTAGAAAATGTTAAAATTATAAACTTTTATTGGGTACCAAATGATGAATAGTAGAACTTTAATACAAGGCAAAAAGGAACATTTCGTACTTTTTTAGATGACACCCTAATCATTTTTCAAATCTACAGTAATATTTGTTAAAACTCCGATTATACAGTATTTTTTTTTTTTTATAGATTGCCAACTTTTACCTATAGATACGATATTATATTTACATTAGCATGATCGTAACCTTTTCATTAGTGTTTTATTTGGACCATATACTTAAAAGAGCTTTTAGGGGTTTTAAGTGAGATTGCTTAAAGGATTTTTTTCAGCTGTCCTGTGTGTACGCACATTCTGGGCCTCTGGCGCCCCCCATCTCCGGATCCGTGTGTCCATATTTTTTGGTGTCCGTAGGTCTGCAAACCGTATTCGGTTTTCGCGTCCTTGTCCGTGGCGCGGCCTGCACTTTTGCTGCTCCATTTCCTTTTGGGTTTTTTGTTGTTGTTTTTTATTTTCGAGTCACCAGCAATTATTGATTGGTTTTTTTCGGGGTTTTCTTGGGTCCAGTTTGGTTTAGTTTGGTTTTGGTTTTGGGTTGGTCTGGTCTGCCTGGGTTCGCTTTGGTTTCGACTCGGTTTCCTTGGCTGCCCTTGACTTTTGCCTGGCTCGCACTTTGCGAACACTTTTTGGCAGCCTCATTGCCATCGACCCCCAGCTGCCCTGTTATTGTTGGCTGACCAAGTTGTGTGAGAGTTTGAAAATAGTTTCTTTCTTTTGCCCTCTTTATGTTTTTTTTTTTTTTTGGTAGCACGTTTTGGCCGAGTGACTTCTCTTTGTGTATTTCGACGGAAGGCGGGGCATTTCCAGCTTTAAGGCAATTTTTTGGCTTTGTTTCGCCAGCAGTAAACATTTCTCCTTCTTTTTTGTTGATTGTTTGAGGGCCTTTAAATGTTGGGGCTGCAGGGGCACGAGGGACGTTGTCTATTTTGGAAACATTCGCCGAAACTGTAAACTGTAAGCTGTAAAGGAAAATTTCAGGCGAGTTCAGTGGCAAAGTGAAATGCCAGCCACAGTCTTGGGCAAAAGTCAGCGCTCTCTGGGTGGTAAACTGGGCGGGGAAATAAACAAGAACATCTTACGATAATTGCCAATACAATAAACATTGATTTCTAATTCTTGGCCCTGCCTTTTTTATGGCTACCAAAAATTACTTTGATCATATTCTTTATTGGCGCAAAGACCTCTTTATTACCCTTTTTTTCTGCTTGCCATTGTTAAGCTATTGTAATTTGTTTAATTTATTATTTAATGAGAAATAGGGGAGAATGACGCCTTTACAGCTATAATTTTGGCTTTTGGTTGCTTTTAAATAGTTTTGGTGCCAGCTTCTGTAAATATTTAATCAAATCAAGTAAACAAACTAGGATACTAACTATATTAGAGGGGAAATATCATTTAAAATGTTTCTTTTTTTTTGTGAAGTATGAATACCTCTTTTTGTTTATATATACAGTTAAAAAATTAAACGACAAAATTATTATTATTATTATTCACCGTACAATTACTTTTCTGTAGAGTTGTACCAGAAACAAAGTGCATACTTTTAGCCACAACTGTTCTCTTATACTTTGTGTGCAATTTTTTTTTCGCTCCACTCAGTTTTTTCGCACTGTTTTGGTATTTTATATTCTCAAAGACATATGCCCTGCTGCAGAGAACTCGCAGATAATTTTTTTCATTGCTTTTCGGTGGCGCTCTTTCTATTTTTTATATTATTTTTTTTATTCTGCTCAAAGAAAATGTTTCCCTTACGGGAATACGGTATAACTGTGTGTGTGTGTGTGTGTGTGTGTGTATCTGTGGTAACCCTATGAATATACATACCTACATACGTACTAAGCCGCATTTATGCATGCTTCTGCCCTTTCGCATTTTGTATTAAAAATTTAGCAAAAAAAAAAAAAAAAAACTAGAAACGAAAAGTTTTGCAAAAGTTTTGCAGGACACACACGTGTGTGTCGGCCTCTTTTTGCCCCGGACCCGCGGTGGCTGGGACTGCTGCTCCTTTTATTATTATTTATTTCATTATTTCATGTTTGCTCATTTTGTGTGCGAGATTACTATTTGGTTGCTCTTTCTCTCACACTATTTCACTCTCTCTTTGCTAATTATTAAGCTCATTTCGCAGGCTTTCTATATGCACACGCGTGTGCGTGCAGTGCTGTATGTGTGTGTGTGTGCTGGAGTTTTCCGGAAAGTATGCAACATTCGGGGTGCGGGATAATGGAGGAGTGTGGGAGAGGGACAGCTGTCTCATAAATCTGCCTGCGCATGTGGACAAACAAATTTATTTGCCGCCCAAATAAGCACATGTGGGCGTGCCAGAGAAGTGAGGTGATGCTGGGGGCGTGGCCTTCCCGCAGGCATCATTTGTACTGCATAATTACTTATTTACATAGAGAAGGAATAAGCGTTAAGCGAGCGAGAAAGAAAGAGAAAGATAGTGCGATAGAAGAGAATGCGAAAGGCAACAGTTACGGTGCGAGTGAGAGGGTCACGGGAGCAGGAGCCGCTAGAAGTTGGGGAAAAAAATAAAGAGATTGCTTAATTGCTTAATAGTCGAGACATCAATAAATCAAAGAAAAATGCGCGTAAGCATAAAGCAAAAAGCGGCGACGACAACAAAGCAATGCGCAAGAGAAATGGTGGGTGGAAGAGGGGGTGAAGTGTTGCGGCTGCCTGCGCAAATGCAAACAGACTGATTGATGGCGGCAAGTGATTTATTTATGTTAATGCGAAGCCAGCGAGCGTGCGAGCGGGTGAGTAAGATAAGGAGGGAGCAGGGGGGAGGGAGCGACTCGGCATCAAGACAAATGAGTGCTGCCCAGGATTTCCAACAAAAAGGAAAGTCAGAGACAAAGCCAAAGTTGAAACTTCAGAAAATTCATTGGTTGCTATTGTAATTCGCTTGGTTTATTATGATTAAGAAAGGTCAACAAACTTAAACTAATACGATTAAACGGGGGTTTAAGTCTGGCCGAAAACAGATAAAAACAAAATTAACAAACTAATTATTTTATGCTAGAAAATAATGTAGCCGAAAAAGTGCTATGTTGACAGCACTGCGATGAGGCGGCAGGACCAAAGCGAGGCTTATTGTAGCTCACCCACTCGCACTCCCCCGCCCACTCCGCGGGCACTTTGGTATTTTCACCTGCGACATTTGTCGCTGTACGTGATTCGAGCGACGATTAATCAACTGTGCTGCGTGGGCGCCATGAAAGGCGGCGAGGAGGCGGGGCGAGATGAACTCGGGCACTCTGGGCGATAACAAAGGCGATTCCGATTGCGATGCCGATGACGATGGCGCCGGATAAGCGATCGGATCCCTGAGCGGCAGCTTCGATTCGATTCGTTTATTTATTTATGCTGCAGCCAAAACTTGTCCGAATGTCTGAAATATGCGATGTCAACAGTCGTTGTCGTCGTCTTCCCATCCAGGCGACAAGAAACACATCAAATGAATTTTAATACGCACCAGGGGAGCTGTCAATAATTAATCAGGCAAATGGGCAGTGGGTCGGCAGCTCGGGCTTGGGCGCAGTCTTGTTCTTTTATTGGCGGCTCTTCAATAATTGATTATTGCGAAATGGACTGCGGAAATGACACAAGTTCATTCAATAATAATTCCAACCCAATGGATGCGAATCCGACAACTTTGTCGCCGTGAGAGAGAGTAATCGTTGTCGGTGACTCGTTTATTTCTGTGTGAGTGTGCGTATGGCTTTCTGTGTATGTGTTGGTGGCGCCTCTTTGACTGGCTCGAAAATCGTTGCCAAAAGCATGGGCACGGGAAACGCAAAGCAGAGGGGACAGCGAACAGAGGCAGCATGAATAAACATCAATAGGAATTTTATTGTGAAAATATTTGTCGCTAACGGTGCGGTAGGTTGACAACAACAAATACAGCTACGCTACATATCCCTTCGCAGCCGTTCGCAATGACCGCAAATAGAAGAAGATAGAGATAGAGACGGAGAGGGATAATTGGCGAAAGTAAACGAAAGTCATGATAAGTTATTGCTGTGTGCAAAAAAGGGACATCATGCATAAATACACATGTACACACACACACGTATGAATCCCGTTACTCACTTGCATTTTACTAATGCGACAATCCTCGTATATTTTGAGATTGCAAATAAGTAAATTAATTAATAAATATTTAAGTTTAAGTTTAATTTTATTACCAATTTAATAATGTCTACGATTAATTTGAAATGACACCAAAAAGTATGCAAGACCTGGTATTAGAGTTACACACAGCTTTATCCCTTGTCCGTTTTGCCTTTTGCGTGACCTTTTGCGGCGCGACGCGTGAACGATGACGTCGCCGCTGGCTCATCTTTCTGCTTCTCCCGGCAATAAAATTGATGTCACGTTTTTATGACGCCGTTGATGAGTCGTTATCTTTGATTTCAACACGCAGGCTCGGTCTCCATTTCCGTCTCATTTTTTCGCGCTCCTCGTCGGGTCTTTTTTTTTTTTGCTTTGTGTCCTGGACACAAGTTTACAAAGCCGCACCGCATCTCATACAAGCACAACGCCCTCCTCTCACAACAACACCCACAAGGGCGCACACACACAGACACCCGCAAGCCATCGAGGCACAATTGCGTCAGGTGGTCGCGGTCTTGCGGCCATTATTCTTCTCTTTCTCCTCCTTGTCTTCTCTCTTGATCTGTCCTGGCTTCGCTTTTGTTTTTTATTTTGCGCCCAGTTCAATTTGCGCTTTTTGTTTTATCTCCCGCTCATAATTGATTGTTTTTTTCCTTTCTCTTTGCTTTTGGTTTCGCTGGCATTTGCAAATTGAAATCACGCAACAACTACAACAATACAACAGAACAGATGCGCAGCAACAACTGCTACCGCCTTTTGGTAACTGTTGTTGCCCACCTTTATTGAATCAAGCTTCTTTCATTGCCGCTTTTGTTTTTCTTGCTGCTGCTGCCACTATACGAGACCAGTAGACACAACTATAAAACGCATTCCCGACAGCATCGGCAACAAAGTCAGAGAGAAACCGCGAGAGAGCAGACGGAAAGATGGCCGTAATTTACCGTTACCCGCTACTCATTGCTACAGTTCTCCTGCTGGTGTCGCTTCCGGTCTACGCACAGATCCTGGGAGGCGGCCATTGCAGGATGACCCTTATTCATGTTTCGGTGGGCGGGTCGGTGTGCGAACGCCTCTGCTACCATCATGGCTACCGTGGTCCCCCGTTCCTCTGCCGCCGAACCACACGCTCAGGACCTGTTCCCGTGTGTGGTAACGGTTGTTGCCGCAGCGGCCCGAACTGCTTGCAACTGCTGCGAACCTAACGGTACTAGGAAACTGCTTTACTGTATGAAGCAGAGTTGATGCTTTAGTAAAATTCTAGTTTAAAATTGATTTTGTGTGTATTTGTGCGATATTGATCAGAAATGAATTGAATAAATGTATAAAAAATATACAAATAAATAGTTATACTAAAGAAGCCTTGCAGGAGGTGTATAAAACGTTTATAATCACATTTGCAGAGATAGTATCTATAGATTATTATAAATATTGAACGATCACTTCTAGCTATGTATTTATGTATGTACATACATACATATGTATATGATATAGTAGATCCATCTGGCCCGTTTTGACTTATAAACTACCAACAATAAAATGAAGACTATCTCAAAATAAAAGAAACTAGTTTAGGCATGGCTAAATCGTATCAGCTTTTTATGCTGATCAGGAACGTTAAATATATATATACATATTTCATATTATAATACCCTGGAGATGTATAAAAAAAGAAATCTGAAGTTTAGATATGCCATGTTGTCATATTGCTATTATATATTATTTATGTATATTGCATTTTAACTTAGAAACAGCTGTCCATTGTGGCTAGAGGTGGTAGTTGATTACGATAAGACATCGATAGGCAGATGAATACAAAAATCAATCGAATGGAAGACAATCGAGTGAAATCGCTTTTTAAAACCATTTGTCTCCACTGGAACCTTTTTCCAATGGAGCCTGACAAGCTCTGTTCACTTGGCAAAACCACTAAAACCATTTGGTAATAGGAACGAGGCCGTTCCATTTATTGCATTTATTTAAGTATGGCACAAAGTTCACAAGAAGTTCAAGGAGCTTTGAAAGTAGATCCGTAGGTCAAACTTGATTCTTTTTTCTTTTTTTTTTTGTTCAAGAGTAATAATATAAATTTTAATTCACTTACCTTGTTTTTATTATTGAACATATTACATCTCGTTCCTTGTAGTGCGTAAGAGCTTACGAAAAACAAAGTTTTTAAGATATTTTCGAACGAAAAACGAACTAGTTTCGGGATTCGTTTTGCTAAAACTTGTGGTTCTTGCTGGCAGTTTTAATTTCTGGGCTTCGACCTTAACATTCGTTACCCAACCGCTCTCTCGATCACGAAACGGAAACAAACAAATTTCTTGTAATCGTAGGTATTGTATTTGGAAAGTGTCATCTACAAATAAAATAGGCCAAGTGCTAGTAGTTATTATCGGATAACCTACACCTAATTCGACCTTTTAGCGATATTTAATGATGAATGAAGACTTCTACGGAAAGGAAACTACTTGAAAAAGCACCATTTAGGTGCAGGATTTGCACGGACGGAAAATTTAGCCAAGTGTCTTCTTGAATTGTGTCGAGTGTCAAACAACATCACACGATTGTCTAAAAAGTTTTAGTTTTCCCGTGGAGGCCAGTTTTTTTTTTTTTTTTTTTTTTTTTTTTTTTTGGCACAATTTGTATTACAAAGACGCAAAACAACTCGGTAACAAATTTTCTCAGATTTTGCCTTTATAAGCGTACATCTAGCTAAATTAAATTTATTTCCAACTATTTTTACAGTATTGTGTAAATTCTTAGGAAAAAAAACAAATTCTTAGTGGCTACTATAGTATTGCTAACGTAATTCACACATTTAAGTTCAGGAACTCGGCTGGGATTCATCTTCTTCCTTATCATTTCTTTACTTTTTTCCGAGTGTTTTTTTGTCTATCAAATATATATATATATATATTATATAGAATAGATAAAGCGATTTTAGAGAGAATAGAATGTAACATAAAAGCTCGTCGTAATCGTATACCGTATATACCAGGTATTACTTTCAAAAATAATAAAGACAAATGGATTTGGAGAACACATCATAGTTCCATCTACAAAGAATCTCTTTTCTAAAAGATTATTTTTTTTTTTGCATGGTTTAGTTTTAGTTTAGTTTTTCTTATAACAAGCGCTCAGGGGGGAAAAAAGGGAATTTTCTTTCTCGTCAATTTGTAGAAAAAAGAAATGAAAAGGGGGGATGGACGCTTTAATAAATATAAAATCTCGGTGGCGAGTTATTCTTTCTAGCAAAAATAATGCTAACAATATATACATATACATATACATACATTCGTCGAGTATGGAGGGCCGAAAGTAAATGAAATATCAACTCTATATAGACACCAACAACGCATCGGAGCAGACCCCCTCTGAACGTACTATTACTTAGATATTTAAACACACTTGATTAAGTGCTTGCAGAAGATGGTCGAGCAATCGCTGAGCAGCGACTGCCAAAGCTCCTTCTCCAGTACGTTTCAGTATTTGTAACTGTGAAACTAAGTGTTATTTTTATTACTGTATTTTGAGAATACTTTCCTCTACTTTCTACGTCATTCAAGCGCTGCCCTCTTCTTCAAGTCCCGCATAAGGTATTAGGCATTTCTATAAGTAAAGCTTACGCTTCTGCTTCTCATTAATTTCTACATAGTCTCGTCTAAATAATACTTCAGATAGTATGTATGTACATGGCCATATCAATGTCCTATATATCGTTATGCGTTGACCAACAACCTTAATCATTTTTATCCATTATCCGTTACACCCCCGAGGTTATCTTATCTGATTTTGATCTCTCGCGGCTATTTCAGAATTTATGTCTATATATATGTATGTACAAATAAACAATAAACCAAATTCTAAAACTAAATGAACTCCGAAAAAGCAAAAATTTTATAATTACTAAACATGATTTTAGTTACTTAGAAGATGGGAAACATTTAAGAAAATTATTAGAGAACATATCACCCCGCCACTGAGTGAAGTATTTGAAATTATCACGTCTCATTGAGAGTTTTTCGTTTCTTTTTTTGCTTTTGGGGTAGGCACAAAGAAAATATGAAGAATAAGATGTAACGATAAACGTGGCTTTCTCTAGAGAGATAGAGAGAAGGACAGTGCAGACAAGCATTATAGATCCGCCTGCTTACGTTCTTGCCCCCATTTGCGAGTTATGCATCTTAGTCTTCAAATGTTCTTTGGTAGAGAGGTGATCGAAAACTCAAAAGAGTGAGAACAACGCATTAATTGTAGGTTTCAAATATGGAGAATCTAACTTTAATAAATGGGAAATATGTACCAATATTTATAATGTGGGTAGTGGTAACCTTTCATACTCTTTGTTGCTGAGACAATGACATCGATGATGAGGCATTTTAAAATAATTCTCTTTGTATTTTTTTTTTTGTTTTTTTTTTAGGAGAAACTCAGCACTGAAGCACAGAAATAAGGTTTTGCAGAAAGATTAATGTACGTTTTTTTTTTGTTTTTTAATCTAACCATACTTAATCGTATTCATTCTTAACATAGAACTTATAAAAGTTTTTCTTTGTGATTTATCTTTCTTTCTTTCATAATTCATGGAAATTTGATTACTTATTGTTAAAAAAAAAAAACTATATTATTTATATATATGCATACATATATATACATAAAGGGTACCTTTTTTGTTATCGAGGTTCCACATTTCGATAACGATTTCAATGCTCAAAAAAAAAAGGTAATTGGGGAAAAATTATAAACTCAAAAGTCAAGGTTCATTTTTGGGAATGTTTGTCCAGTTTACGATCGTGGGGTAGTTGGGTTTAAGAGATTCCACTAGATTGCACCAAGGCACCAAGTTGCATCAAAATAAAAAATAAAAAATTAATGTATTTTCGATACAAAATCTAAAGAGAGCACTGTTTTGCTGTTTATTCAAATAATTCTTTCGTGTGACCATCGAATCGTTATTAAAAAGTGGAAACCCGAAAAACAAGAAAAAAAAAAAGAGAGAACACCCTAAATACATATATATATTCAAAACACACATTGGCCAACCTGATAATAGATCAACCAACGATATCATCATGTTCACATTCGCCTCGTTTGTGATGACCAACAACGACACAGTGTGTGTGTGTGTGTGTGTATAAATAGTTGAAGAGTATTATTTACTGCTAAACCTATTGGTTCTCGTCATCATCGCCATCGCCGTCGTCGTCGTCGTGCTGCTCATCCAGCTGCTGGTGCTGCTGCTGGGCAGCGGCGGCAAGTAACGCGGCTTTCTGTGCCTGCGCCTGCATCGACGCCTGCATTGACGGTGCGGACATGGCTATTTTCCCGCTTGTCTTGTACTCAGTCATCTCCTGCAAAAACAAACACAACACATTCGTTGAGCAAATAATCACGAAAAATTGTAAAGTCCTGGCTTAACTTACCCGTTCATACCGAGCCTTGTCCCGCTCAGCCATCGACTCGTACTTTTGCTTGACCTCAGGATCCACATCCGACCACTTTCGTCCCAGCTCCTTGGCAATATCGCCGACACCGAACTCGGGATTGAGAGCCTTCACCTTATTTCTCTCGTCATTGCAGAACCAGAAGAACGCAGACCTGTAAACGGAGGAGTAACATTTATAATTGAACATTGCTTTTGTATAATTTACTGTTGAAAGTGAAATTAATTTGCTGTTTGATTTGTTAATTGATTTTTCTACGAACTCACAATGAACGTTTCGGAGCATTGGGGTCCTTGATCTGTTTCCTCTTCTTGCCACGCCCCACAACCGCACCCTTGGGCGGCACATAGTTTTGCATTTCCGCCTCATATCTCTGCTTATCCTTCTCGGCCATCTCATGGAATCGCTTCTTCTCCTTATCCACCATTGTCTGCAAAGAATTGTAATCAGTAAGGGCTTCCGGAGGAACTAAGACTAAGACTAAGACTTACCTTCCACCGCTCGGCGCACTTTCGTGAGAACTCTGCGAATATCACAGTCTCATCGGGATGCTTCTTTTTGTGCTCCTCTCTGCAAGTTTGTACAAAGTATGCGTAGGCGGTCATTCGGCCTCTGGGTTTGGCATCTGCCTTGCCTCTTATCATTGGACTCTGCAAGGAATCCCGAGTGTTAGGAGACATTTTTCCTTTTGTGTAAATAATGAAAGTTAGGATACTTACCCCAGCCGAGTTGATGACGTTCTGTTGCTGCTGCTGCTGTTGGATCTGTTGTTGCTGCTGGTGCTGCTGCTGCTGCTGTTGCTGTTGCTGCTGCTGTTGTTGCTGCTGCAGTTGCGCCGCTGTGTTGGCATCAACCTGACCCTGATTGGCAGCCGAATACCACCATTGGGAACCGGGAACGGCGGCAGCTGCGGCCGCTTGGGCCATATTGAGACGGTAATCGTAACCCGTGGTGCCGGCAGCGTTCGATGTGGCCACCACTTGGGCCATCGTTGTGGCCGGATTAGGAAAACTGCTGGCCATTTTGTATGTGAACAGCTGTTGGGTGCCCACGCCGGCTGTGGTATTAGAGCTGTTTTGATGCGCCTGCTGCTGATTCTGCTGCACCACCACCTGGTGCTGTTGCAATTGTTGCTGTTGTACTTGTTGCTGTTGCTGCGCAGCCAGTTGCTGCTGATAGTGTTGAATGGTTTGCTGATCAATAGTTTGTTGGTAATATTTCTGATTATATGTGGTTACGCGTGCAATGCCAGTCGTTGTCGCTCGATTGGTATTGCACTCACTAACCACTAAATTTTTTTGCTTTGGATTAGTTTGTTTCTTTAGTATTGATGGTGGGTGAGTCTGACAGCAAAAATTTTTTTGAATTTGCCGCCCATATAGGAAAAGGCAAGGTCAATCCTATCAACCCTTTAATGTAGGTCATATATAGACTTTAAAGTTTATTGTTATGTTATTATGTGATATTAGATACAAGTAATGCTTATTGGATTTTTACAAATCCCTGATTTGATGTGAGCAGGATCTATTGCTGTACTGCTCTTTCCCACTTTAACCGCCCTTTCTCGAAAGCCATATAGCCATAATGTCATATACCTTAACACCCCTACACTAATTATTACTTTTTTATGTTATAAATTATGCTTCTATTTGAAGGAAAAACAAAAAATAAAAAACCTTTTTAGTATTTATTTTATATTAAAAAACCTTCTTGTTATTTTATGAATCTCTAATCTACCAAACTTTTTCTTACAAAACACATAACAAAATTATTTCTATTCGGCTTCTTAATTTATATTTATATAATATGGCTATAATTTATAATTGAATTTATTTTCCAAATTCCCAAGCCTCACAATTTAATTTTAAAATCCAATAGGAAACACTTTTTGTTTCCAAAGTAATGTAATTATACACAAGTTTCTGCTAATTTTATCCATAAGATACAAACCAAATTTAGAGAAACTGCGCATTTCATTCAGGGAGAAATTTTTAATTAATCTATTTTATGTATTTATTGATTTTTGAAAAACCAAACCCTAAATAAATAATTGCATTTTAATTACCTCTGTAAAAATAAACTAAAAATTATTCCCGACAATCCTTGCCTTGCATGAATATATACAGCCTTCCAGAGCATGTATTCAAGATAGGCAAAGCATCTACGCTTTGTCAATGAACTTGTGCTTGGTGAGGGGACTGCCGCCCGCCCACAACAAAAACAAGCCATAAACATCGCAAATCAAAACAAAAGCGCTTCTTTTTTTGTTTAGCTTTTTGTTTACAATCTAAGCATCGGAGCACCAGCTGTTAGCGCCGAGATAAAAGCCAACTACGCAGAGACCCAGGAATGGGGCATGGTGGAACGTATGAATGGAAGTGGAACTGGCACTGGTTCCGCGTGTCTTGGAAATCGGATTATCAACCGTTTTTATTTTGATTCCGTTCCAGGGCCTGGAGCACCAGGGCAGCAGCGATGTATCGTGAGTGCCCGTGAGAGTGGCAAAACGAATGGCATTTCTCTTTAATTTTGTCGCATTACTTTGCGAATACTCGAAAATAATATTTGAAATTTCATGCCAATCGGGGCGACAACGATTTTTCAGGAGGCAAAAATGTACTACAAAAATGAAAACGAAGCACGGTTCTTATTTCGATACAGGGTGTGCCATGTGTGTTGTTCTTAGTTTTTGGTCGCCTTATAGCAAAGTTTAGAATATGTATCTAGAAACTAGTTCAATCCATTAAATCGGTTCACAAATATTATAGATAGTTTATGTTTTATATCGACATAAAAGATGGAGCACCCTGTAAGTACGAACATTTGTACATACATCTGTATGTACGTATTGCGCACACACTGGCGTCTTGCAAAAACATACAGACATAAGTATTTTCAGAGCCAAGTATTCGCACGTATTTATGTATAAGCATATATATACATATATATATATATATATATATTTACATATGTACACACGGGGAAATATAGCGAATTTCAGATTACGCAAGCTATGATTTTGTGTGCACATTCAAGTTTGCAAACATCTGCGCAATGTGCGTTCATCGTGTATTTTTGTGGCGTATTTTAGGCATTTTAACAAAATGCAATTAGGTTTATGCTCTAAGAAATATGTACACATGTAGGCTTCAGGCATAAATATATGTATTTTCATACATATTTATACAAACTAATAAAAAAAATGGCGGCCTTAGATGCGCACGCAAAATAAAATTTCGCTGGTACAGCGTCGTTTTGTTTGTATGCATACGCACACAATCACACACACACATACACGCGCGCGCAAACAAACACACATACACAGGCGTTCTTTCTCTTATTGCACTGCTTACTTTTTACATAAAACAAAGCAAAACGAAGAAAATACGTTAAAACATATGTACACACATACGAATGTTTGTATGTATGCCCGTTTGTATGTTTGTATGTTAACGGCTATGCAAGGCAAACTCAAAAATTTTCCATCGAAACAAAGGAGCGACATCAGGTGTCGGCGGAGAGCATCCCGAAGAAAGTCTTATGGCTACATTGGCCCCCAGTGCCTGCCTTTGAGCATGGTTAATTATATTTTGGCTTTGGCGGGAAAATGATTAACTTGGAAGAAACGCTGGTGGCGCGGCAACCGACGGCAACGCACACAAATACAACAGAAATGAATATGATCTGCGAGCGTGCGAGTGTGGGTTCAGTTTGGCGTGGTGCGATGTGAGTGTGAGTGTGTTGGGGCAACGTATACCTCCACACTTACCTGTATTTGATGAAAGTGCTCCATACTGTGAGCGATCGGATCGGCTCCGACTGTTCGATTGCGGATTGGCGTATTACTTAGTTATTTTTCGACGTACACGGTGTCTCTTCGAAGAATAGTTACTATACTAGCGGCTACTCCTCTTCTTCTCTTCTCCACGTCTGTCTTCTTCTTGCACTACACACACACCAACGCAGCACTATGTGAATGGCTGTGGAAGCGGAGTCGAGTCTCAAGCCAGTAAAACTGTTCTGCGCCGTTTGTTGTACGACGTACGCTGTACGTTGCTAGTTGCTGAATTGTTGGTTGTATTGATTATTGCACGTACGTATGTATTTACACACGGCAAGCACCAGACACCAGAGCACACGCCAATTCAAAATTAAAAAAAAAACCTCCGAGATCCAAAATTCATCGATTCCAACGACGACACCACGCACGAACACGAAACAACGCCAAGTTAACGTGTGTTTTTGCAGCGAAGCAACGCGAAACGCGGCGAGTTATTCGGTTTGTTTTGCCGTTGCTTTTAGTTAGTAAAAAATAAACAAACGGCGCTGCATACGCTTCTTTATTGTTAGCGTATCGCCGTGTTTTGTTGGTATCAATGCGGAAAAGATGAGTTCGTACGCCGCTCGCCTGATTGAAAACACACACAGAGAGTACCAACAACGAATGCAAAGGCTATTGAATTGAATTGCCGTCTCTGCCTTACTGCTTCACAACCCCAGCGAGCAAACTTCTGTATGCGTTGAGTGCGCAACTGTGTGCGTGTGTGTGTGCGGGAGAGAGCGAGAGCGGGCGGTTGTTTATGGACGCTTTCGTGAGTAACTGCGAGAGGGAGCGTGAGAGCGGCCAATGGTGACTGGGCTGCCGGGGTGGAGGCGGGGTGGTGTGCCGAGCCCTGAGTACAGTTTACTGGGCTCTCGCCGTCTCTCTCGGCGTATACAAACATATGTACATACACGTGGTGGAGGAAACAGGCCTTATACAATTTTGGCTTGTTACTTTCGATGTACATAAAAGTATGTACATAAAGGTTTCACACCCGCCCTATTATGACACAGCGTTAAACGTACATTCTTGGTGGTGTATAGAAATATCGAATTCTGTGTTTGTCAATTACACAAATGTAAAGCCCTCAAATATGCGTCGTAAAATATGTATTCTTGTCTCTTTTTAGGCAGTCAGTTGAAAGGCTGTCCATATGTACATCACTTGAAGCATTTGCCTTAACGATTTTATGTACATATGTTTACACGCTACATACCACTTATATACGTATAGAGACACATACATACATGTTTCATTTTGTGTTGCCGTCTGACTGTACTTCCCAACACGCTCTCTTTTTCTCTCTCGCTCTCTCTCATTTTGGAAAGAGAGAAACAGCGTTAAAATAATGCAGCATGTATGGGTGTGTTGGTGAGGTCACAAGAATCCAACAACAACACTGAGACGTTGCCTGGCGTTACCAGACTGCGCTGGGAAACGCGGACTTTTCAAATATTTTAAGCTCTACTAGCAATTTTTTGAGTAGGTAAGCCTTCAAGTTGGGTGCGCAGCCCTGGGGCCGAGGAGAAAAATGCGAAATTTTACATAAAAACCATTGAATAATGTTAAAGAAAGTTTTGTAAGCCAGCGCTGCTACGTTTTTATCAAAGACTTCAACCTTTATAGCAGCACAACAGCGTTGCCAGACCGTGCTGTTATGAGGGTTTCAGCGTTTCAGAGTGCCCAGAAGCCGCGAAAGCGGAAATTTACTCGCCCTTTCTCGTTTTTTGAGATTTTAGGGCAAAAGCCAAATTTGGCAACACTGTCTTGTTATTTTACGACTGCGAAACAACACAAAACTAAAATAATGTCGAACAAAATCCCCGTCAACCTGCCCGAGGAGGAGCTGGATTGGATACAGCTGCGCCAGGACCTGGGACCGGTTGTGGAGGTGGAGACCACCAAGGAGAAGCTGCAGCGCAAGATCAAGGAGAACCCTCTTGTTCCGCTGGGTGAGTTTGGTCGCCGGCACAGCTGCCGCCAGCGGCCGGGGTTACGTAAAATCAAAACAAAATTAATGAATCTTATGAATGGATATCACATGCAGGATGCTTAGCCACCACCGCCGCCCTCACCATGGGTCTATACAACTTCCGGACGGGTAATCGCAAGATGTCACAGCTGATGATGCGCACCAGGATCGCGGCCCAGGGCTTCACCGTCATGGCCCTGATAGTCGGCGTTGTGATGACATACACCGACAAGAAGTAACAGAAGTGACACCTGAAATTGACCCAAAATGTGATATTGCTTGGGGTTAACTTTAAATGATTTGCCCAACAACGGTAGTGTACATAATAAAACTAATGTTAATATGGATGCCTCAGCGCTAAGGCCAATGAATTTTACATGTTAGATAAATGAATAAAAAAACGTAAACGTTTCCTAATAAATTATATACATAAAACACTAGGTTTATGTTGGTGTTTTGAATGAATTCTGGCTGATTTATGTACTTCATAGTTATTGTTTTATTGAAGGAAATAGTAAATATAGTTATTGTAAATATTTGTATATCGAAAAGGGGATTCTGGATTCCTATGTATGACTATATCATATACCTATCATAGAAAAGTTGAAAAAATTAAATGGATTATAAAGAAAAATTAATATTATTTCGTTGTTGTACAGAAATCACTATGGTTTTGTAATCTATAATATACCCTTGAAAGGTATTATTATTTTTATTATTATTATCGTTTATAGCATCAAAAGCAGAGTCGATTTAGCCATGTCAAATGAGTGATTTCCAGATAGATAGATTTTCTTAATATTTTAAAATAATTTTATTTAAAATTTTAATTTATTATAATGTGGGTTTTTATAATAAGACTGAATAAAATGATATCTGAATTGGGTGAGATAAGGCTAAGAATAATCAGGAATTCTTTGCCTACGTATATGCCCAAAAGTATGCAATTACATTTCAATTTTCAAAAAGTAACATTTTTTAGCACACTTTTGGGCTTAATTACAAGTGATTTAGAATCTCCAGCAAACAGTAGTTTGTGCAAATTGTTTTGTAAACACACACACAAACACCTGGGTGTGGCCAAAGACGCGCAGGGGTGTATGGCATCTGTGTACTGGGGGAGATGCGCGCGCACCTTGGCATGTTTTGGGGGGACCCATGAATTTCAGGATAATAGTTTCTGTCACTCAGTTCGAGGTATAGGACATATTCTTGGGAGCCAGGCATTGTGTTGAAAGGTTTGAAATTGTTATTAATTATTTGTTTAGCGTGCTGTTTTAATGATTAATTTAAACGAATTTGATTTGAAAGGATATATAGTTGAAAATCAGGATATATGGAGCATTATTTAAATTCAGAGAGTGTAGGGGAATTTTGTGAAACCCATTGTGTATTCTAGGCTAAATTCAATTCAACTTCTTGACACAGAGTTCTTTATTAATTACTTAAAAATAAGGCTTAATATTAGTAGAAATTAAGGTTGTTAATAGACAAAAGAGTAAAAACAAATAAAGGATTTAGAGGAAGCAATAGTAGCCCGGAGTAGTGCAAAATCCACCCCCAAAAACAATGTTGTGAATCGCGGAGAAACACACAGATACACATGAATCCCCGGAGTCCCCGTACGAGTCTATTGATTAGTAGCACCTCAGGTGGCACACTCACCTCATCAGGAATTCCTGCAGTCCACAGCTCATCTCTTTTTTTTTTTGACAGCTTTCAGAATGAACATACTGCTCGGAAATTGTGTGGGCAGCTGCGATCAATTGGCCGGCCCGCCGCCGGACTTTATACTGTCTATGCCGCCGCCGCCGCTGCCATCGTTCCTCATCTCCAAGCCGGCCACAGTGGAGGCCCTGGTGCCCTCCAATGAGTCGCAGCCATGCTTTGCCGCTTTCATGTGCGGTCAGGGGCAGCAGCACAATGAGAGCGGCAACGCCCTGATGGAGCTGGTGCGTAGCGATTCGAAGAGCCTAGAGAATGTCTGGCTGTTTGTCTCCTCCTGCATTGGGATCTTTGTGCTTGGCTGCTTCCTGGCCCTCATTGTCATACGATGCAGGGAGTAAGTAAGAGTGTTCTGTCCTCGTTCCATCTCTAATCGTTTCTTATATTGTTTCGCCTGCAGCTCCTTCTTCTCGTACCAGGACGCCAATATCAAACAGACGGCCATCAGCGCTTTGGGCGACGCCACCAAATCCAATGCCTTCACCTCTGGCGGCATACTCTATCCCTGCGCCACGGCCAATAGCAGGGATCTGCTCCAAAGCCAACTGGTCAACGACAGCCGCTTGCTCTGGGCCACCTTGACGCCTCATGGCACTCGCCACTTTATCATTGAGAACTCGCAGGACGGACACTACGAGTCGGTGGACTATCGTGGCAAGTCCCACAGCCAGGTGTTCCGCGGCTATGCTAAGCATTCCCAGTCCTTTGTCAAGGTAATAAGAAACTCTCTCTTGTTAGCTACTGCTTGTGCACTGCAGGCAAAGCCTGGAAGATAGAGGAAGAGAAAATACATCAAAGAAACTCTCTCTTGTTTGCTACTGCTTGTACACTGCAGGCAAAGCTTTGAAGAAAGAGCGATAAAAAATCCATACAAATAATCTTTCCCTAATTTTAGTCCTTTGACAATAATGGCTTTGTCGATTATGACTATGAGGATCCCACACCGTTGATGGACTCGTACCACGATGACATGGATTCCGGCTATCAAGAGCCCCACGAGGTCACCGGCTCCCTGAAGCGTTCACCAATGCGAACCCTGGACTCGTCGAATGGCACACCGACCGGTGCTGGCACGACCTACAACTCCAACGTTGGTGGTGGTGGTGGCGGTGGCAGTGGTCTCGCCTCGAACCAGAACGGCAACTCCATGTCCATTAGCCGCAAGACGACGCTCTCCCGCCGCATCAGCGACGCCTCCTCGCACAATGGCACCTCGATGTAAGGTGCGAAACCGAGTTGCATTTTGTAAATTACACTTGGAGGCAGTCGTCGTCCATAACTAACTACATATTGCAGTATTTGTACTATGATTTACAATTATTATTTGTTTTATACTTTAGACTCTATGTTAAGTCAGTGTGGGAGGCCCAGGCGCAGGCCACAACTATGTATGTTGATTAAGAATAGTGCACTATATATAGTGCACACCTAATACTCGCATCGCCATGACTTGCTTGTACACCTCCTATGTTCGTACCGTACATTACCTAAAAACTATACGTCAGATAATCTTAACCAGCCGCGCAATTCGATTCCGCTGAATTGGACCTACTACCGGACACATAAATACATACCCTTCTGGTATAAATAATAAGATAAGTAACGCCATACAAGGATCTCTTCAAAGCCAGCGAGAGAGCAAGATACAGAGAGAGCGCTCTTTGAGCGCTACGCATCTTATGCTTTCTATTGTCCTTGGTAGCATGTTGTATTATTAAAACGAACATTTTGGTAAATACTCTGAACACGTCTCGCCTTTAGCGCTCGTTTAATAGTAGGCATAAGAACAAATAAAAAATAAAATTCTCGGTAGTACTACACTAAAACTATACACCACTGCTATAGCTGCCGATTCCGATTTCGCTTCAATTTTATGAAGATGGAGATATATCCGTTAATAGATTTATAGCTTAAGGAATTAAAATTAAATTAGAGTCGAATAGAATAGTCTCATGTTGAAAAAGAAACTAAAACACAGTCTGAAAAAAATTGAAAATAATCGCAGAACCAAGAACTGGAATATACTTTTCCGATCTAAAAAATTTTCTATACGTCTGGTTCTTTGAGATATTCCATCTTAAAACTGCAATAATTACGATTTTTGGTCACTTTTGAGGTGCTGTATTTTGAATACAATTTAGTTTTTGAAAACTAACGTTAAAAGTACTTTTTTGGACCTCAAAACTAATTAAAAAAATTTTTGTAAATCTATAGATCTTTAAGATATGACCTTTTTTCCATAAATATCATAAATCGATACACGGAAATATATGAAAAAATATCGATATAAATTCAAGAGACAATATCTCATAGACCAATAATAATTTTTTCAAATTTTAAAATAATTTAAAAGGCAAAGAAAAGTTCTTTGGGATTGTTTAGAAAAAAAAAACGTAGTAAAGTTAAAAGCTCTTCAAAAACACCCAAAAACCGTATTTTCTGCACTTTCGAGATGAAATATCTCAAAAACCTGACGTAAAGGACATTTTCTAAGGCACTTTTAAGTTCAAATATTTTAAATTCCTGAAGTATAGGAAATTTTCTGAGCCCGGATTTGAGTTCAGCACATCAAAAGCTATCGGAAAAGTGCAATTCCGGTTCTTTGTTCCAAAAAGCTGACGACCTGTGTAATCAATTTCGAATTTTGGAGCACAAATCGCTGTACTAGATAGAATTCTGGAAATGTTAGCTTAAAGCAGATAATTTCTAAAACAGTTTCATTAACTTCTTCTATGGGAAGGAGTCCCAAATTTTAAAGACAGAACTTCTTAGCTTCAGAAACCATCGAAAAATCGTAGCGAAATCAAAGGGAGGAACCACCTAGCAGCTCAGTATGCTCTTGATCCAGTCATGCAGATGCACCTCTATGACATTCACCTGGCTGTAGTTCTTCAAATGGAACTGATTGAAGGCAATGGTCAGATGGATGACGGCCGACACAAAGTCGCTGAGGCGCAGGGTGCCGTCCTTGCGGATATATCGCTGGATCAGGCAGTTCATGATGTCCGTGCTGAGCTGAAAGCCAATGTCACAGAGAGCGTCCCGCAGACGCTCCGCGCGGAGAATGCCGGCCTTCTCCTTGGTGTACATCTTGAAGACGCCCTGCCAGGACTTGAGATTCACCATGAAGGTCTTGAACTGCTGAAAGGTGATGCGCCCATTGCCGGTCTTGTCCTGCAGGGCAATTACCTGGCGGCAAATATCGATGTTAGCACACCCCTTGATGTAGTCATTGGGCAGGCAGGCCTCCAGCAGTTCGTGCAGCTCGAAGCAGTTGATGGTCTTGTTCTCATCGGCCAGCTGCATGTAGACGGGCTCATACTGACAGACGCTCTTCACCTTGGTGCCCCCGCTCCGGTCATCCTCGCTCTTAAGCGCCGGAAATGGCTCCAACAGGATCATCGTCTGTGTCTCCAGGCAGGACAGCCGGAAGATGGCTGTGCCCAGAATGCGGACGGTAAAATGCGCCTCCTCCGCCGGCTCATAGGTGGTCGGTATGAGGACATAATGACCCGCCTCCAGTTGCGTATGGTAGCTGACGTGACGCGTATTGCCGTAGTCCGAGTTGAGGAAGCTCACGTGGTTCTTAAAGAAATCCTTTTGCAGGCACTCGGTGAGTCCATAGTCCCGATCCCATGTGTACATCGTAAACCCGATCACCTTGGGCTCCACGGCCGTGTGCTGATTGAGTGCCACCACCACTTCCTGTCGCTCCTGGACGGAGATCAGCAGCTGTGGATTTATATGGAAGGATTCATGGTTGCGACATCCGCCGGCCGTGACACCCCGCTTCCACTGGCCCTGGTACATTTTCATCTTCCAGTGTTTTGGTCGATTTTTGAGCATTTCCTCGTCGTTGGCCGTGTCCGTATCCAGGTAGACCACCTCCAGTGTGGTGAAGACCTGCACAAAGTCGCAGAACGACATCCAGAACTCTCCCGGCGCCAGCTGGCTAACCAGACGCAAACGCTCCGCGGTGGATACTCGCTCCCAGGTCTTGGACAGCGGCGACCAGTCGCCGGTGAAGTGCGTCTTGTCGCTAAACGGTTTGCTGGAGAATGTGTCCCGCACGCAGACCAACTGCACCGAATCTCCCATCAGGGTCTCCACCTTGTCCAGGCCGGAAAGTCTAAGAAGCAAGGGAGTTAGGGATTGCTAAAGGTTTCCTGGTTATGGAAATTACCTGTAGTTAACCGTAACCATTATCCCATTGGACAGGCGCTCGGCAATGTTCTTCTTGGCCACCGAGGCGGCACCCTTGACCGCCAGGCAGGTGACAATGCATGTGGTGGCCAGCTGATCCTTGAGCGTCTGCGGTCGCAGGGTGTCCGGGTCAATGGGCATGCAGCGAACCACGCCGCCGAGAAGATCTGTGAGGCCATCGGATCGTGTGCCATATTTGAGGGCCTCGTAGGAGCCATGCAGCTTGGCAATGGCCTTCTCCAGCAGCGCTGCCCAGAAACAGTTCGAGGCCTGCGGCTGCATGAAGGCCAGCCGCCCGTTGATGGTGGGCAGGCGATCGTCCACGAGCACCTCCACCCATTCACCGCACCACCACAGCCGGAAACGGAAGACGCCCTGGGCCTTGGCCAGACTCTGATCGGCGGGCACCACGCGATAGAAGAGATTGCGCAGCGAGCAAAGCACGCCCAGGCAGGAGACCAGCCAGCGGTCGCCCATCTTACCGGGCACCACATCGAACTCGGCGGTCTCGTTGAGGAACACGGCCGCCGCCGGACTGGACGACGACGTCGGTGTCTGTGCCTGGCTCTGGGCGGTGCTCAGCTCAGCGATTCGCTTCCATTGGAAGGTGAAAGGGGGCGTCTGGTAGTAGAAGACGGATGACTGAACGGCGGGGAAATCGGGATCTTCCCAGAGTATGCTCTTGGCCCTGCAGTCACTCAAAATGCGCTCGTACTTGGTTGCCATTATCGTTGCGTAGCTGTTCACATAACTCCCGATTCCCGATTCCGGATGCCTAATCCCTAATCCGAAAACAACGATCCCGATACCGAATCCAATCGGATCCTGCTGCTGCTTGTTGTGGCCGAAGTGAAAGTTAATGCATTAATATGCTGCCAACTAGCCTGAGCTTAGCTTGGCCGAAAGAAACTAGAGCTGGCTCCGCGAACCAGTTCGGCTCCGGGTGCGTGAGCCTCGTAATTGGGCCCGAAACTGGTTCCAGCGACGCTCTTGGCCATTTTACGCTGCTTCAACTGCGCAAGCGCACATCAATTGGGAGCTATGAATGTATGTATATGTACGTAATTATGAAATATATGTATGTATGTAATTATGAAATAGGGCTAAATAAAAGCAGAGTTCTTGTGAATTCCGTACTTCAATGTAATCCCAAACTAAACTTTATAAAAATCTTTAAAATAAGTACTATTGTTGAATTGTTTAAAGCATTTAAATGACATATATTTGTAAGCCATTCTATCTTTCTATTGAATTCTAATTTATCTTAACTCTTTAAGAAATATTTTAGCTTGATATTAATCTCTGATACAACTTTGCAATCTAAAAACTGAGCCATTTGTGACCTTGGATTTATTTTTTTCTCAGTGTAAACTGAACACCGAACACTGTACATCACAACAAAGTATGTAAGTATGTACACAAGTATGTGTGAAGGGTTTCCTTTGCTACCATTGAGTTAGAGCGAGAAGGCCATACTAACTAGAGTTCATCCTTTCGCTCTGTTCCGTGGGAGAGAGGAGAAAAGAGAAATGGTGAAATGTCACTGGCGTTGCCACCTAGTCAAAAGGTGCAAAAAGAAAGTCATGTACGATCTTGAAATTATTTGTCATTATTTGTTGTGACCTAGAAAAAAACAAGGCAGTCCTTAAAAAAATATACTACTTTATTGCTCTTTAATTTCTCATTAAAATATCTGAGTATATGTATATTGAGGAATGACTAAACACATGCAAAGCACCTACTTAGTTATTTAAATTGCCGCTTTGGATTAACTATAAAATTAAGTAATTACATCTAAGTACATATGTACTTAACTTACAAATACGTAGGCACAATACTAGGATGGCATCTTGAATAGTAGAATATTAATATCACAATTCCGACAATATACAAGGCAGTTATGGCAATTGCAACATACAGGGGAATATACAGAGCGCAGGCAACGACGTTTTGCAACAGACAAAACGTTAGGTAAATGGAATACTTGTACTTGGTGGGTCCATCCTTAAGGGGCGTATAAATAAACAAATAGACTACCCCGAAGCACAGGCAGTACAGGTAGTTCATAAAGCGGGACATGGCGATCGTTGGCGAGTCCACCACAAACACAACAGAGCCGCACAACCAGGCATGGACAGCGCAGAACACTAGAGTTTCCAAGGGAAATACGCTTGCCATATAGGCAATGCAGATTGTACGCGATACTACAAATACATATACATATATATAAACTATATTTAATCAGGAGTGACGACTACAACGCACCTGTAAAGCACAACAGGAAAATGAACTGAAAGAAGCGTCCTCGCGCCGCTATGTCGTGCTTGTCCAGCTGGACGAGGCGATTGGATCGATTGTAGGCCTGAATGCACCACGCAATGCTCAAAAAATACACGACGAAGACAAAGATGCGATAGTCTGTAATATTAAAACTGAGATAACTGACATTTTGCTAAGGAAATCAAATTACATACATGTCAACTCCTTGGGCGATCGCAGCACTATGGCGAGCTGCAATACTTTCTGCGGTGCAGACTCCAAAAACGAATCAAAGAGCCGGACAAAGCCCACATTGCACTCCTCCGTCATGAGCTTCTGATAATATCTAAGAAATCAAAAAAATAAAAAACATCAATTGAAACTTGAAATTTCAAATATGGAAATGCATGGCCAACGAGATTCACTTCCATTGGCATTGCAATTACCTGATTTCGGAGGGTTTGTCATCCTGCTCCTTGGCCCTGGCATACTTCAGAGCATAATTGAGAGCGTAAGCATCCCGGAACAGATACGAGATGGCCGCATTGGCATATACTCCTCGGCCCGTCATGCGTTTCTGGCCAGAGTGGCTGGCTATTAGGCTGGAAAATCAAGCAAATTTGAATGCTAATCTATTTTCATAGAATTTCACCTTACATGTGAATGTATATAGCCGATGTGACTACCATGGGCACCAGGATCGATCCCACTGTCCAGGCGCAATAGGCATATGCCTCATCCGTCCAATACTCGTAGGCCAGGCTCCAATTGATGAAGATGGAAACGAATCGCATAACGATCGAGGCTCCGGTTAGCACCAAAGTTGCCGTCGAGATCGGCTCCATCACCGTGCCGTCTACCTCCACATTCGTCCGTCCACATTCGGTGGCGATCGTCATTGTGATGCCTGGCAAACTGATGTCCCGAAGATCAGGGAGTTCCCACATCTACATTTTTGCTATATAAATAATATATTTACATTTATCGATTGGCATCGATCGTGCTGATCGAAACCACTATCGATAGAGTTTGAAATCTTTTCATTCGAATCTATCGATTTGTATTTATTTAAAATGAAATTCGTGAAACCGGAATTTATAAAATTTGGTAATCGTTATTTCTATTATTTAAAGTGGTATTTCTATTATTTATTTTTAAATAATTAAAATAATAATAATTAAAATATTTATTAAAAAAAATGTTTTTATTTATATTTGTTTTTTTTTTTTTTTATAAACCTCTCTTAACAGAAGTTTTATTTTAGGCAAAAAAAAACTAAAACACAAAAATAATCTTTATTTGCATGTCCTTATTGAGGTCATCCGATGGTGTATTTTGTAACTTGATGAACCCTGTAATAACCCCCCCCCCCATTAACAAATTCACCTGTTTTTAATTTGTTCGTTATAGCAAATATACCCTTTATTCTTACATCCATGATACTTACGTATATATCCCTATTTAGAAAACAGATTCTCATTTACAATTTATTTATAATATGTAGAGTATTTAGCGTGCATTCATTCTGCCTAAGTGAACTCAAATCAGAACAACAACAACCCTTTAAACCGAAGGAATCCAAAAGTATTTCGCGTGTCTTATAATTTACCAATTAAAATTAATCAAAACCTGCACTGCAAGTCGCAAGATTATAAACTGTAGCGCCGGAAATAATTGAAAAAAAAAAAGAAAACAAAACGCTAAATCTATTCATTCGAAAATAATGATTGCCATGTTGCATTATTTTTTGCCTAAGCTAAGCTTTTACATTTTCAGAGATTCGAGGTAATAATATTTGATTCAATCAAGCTTTCACTGTTCCATCTTAAAACTAAGGAGATTTTTTGATAGAAAAAATCACTGCGAAAAGGAAATATACGGCTAAATATAATACATTGACGGCATTCGATTGGAGTCCGTCGCCGCCGCCGGCAGCAGCTGCGACCAGAGGAGACTTCTGGTAGTTTCGACACAGAGTTTGGTTCCTGATAAAGTTGAACATGGACTCGACGAGATTGGCCGGCGTTATGTCAGTGCACTGCTCCAGTTTGCTGACCACGCACGCCTGGAGAACCAGCATGTCGTCGCACTCCTTCTGGCCGACGGTCAGCATGGGTATCGATTTGATCTGATTGTCCTGCAGGCCGCCGGAGAAGTTCAGGTACGGTCCAAAGGTATTGTTCACGCACTGCTCGATGTTCTCCTTTTGCGATGCGAGGCACTCGGGGCCCTTTTCGGCTATGAACAGGGCTATTTGGTCGCCGTCCTTGTGGCAAACGAAGTTGAGCAGGCTCTCGATGATGCGCTTGATTACCTCCTGGCCCTCCTGCTCATCCTTGACCAGGCAGGGCGAGAGCTTCGCCGTGAACTGATCAAAGCACTCCACGGCCTCCGACCGCCGCGTGCAGTACTTGTTGAAGACCACATCGAGCTCGCCCTTGGGACTCGCCTCCTGGATCTCCTGCTGAATGGCCGTGTAGTTGACCAGGTGATTCGCACAGTCGGTGAGGTGCATGAAGCCAGTTTCGATCTCGGCGAAGGCCTGGCTGCCCGCCTCTTCTCCAGCCACTTGGATGCACTTATTGCGAACCGAATCCTTGACATCCGCATAGCTGAGGTTCGTCTTGACGAGCTGCTCTGGCAGCTGGGTCTGGATTTGATCCAGGTCTAGCTGGGCGTGCACCCTAATACTGCTGAGGGCAACAAGGAATATTGCGCCAGTGGCTTGTGATAAAAGTGTCCAGTTCATCTTGAGGTGAGAATTTTTGATTCCTTTTGCTCCTTTAATACCACGACTTTGTATCTCGGTTTAGAAGGACTTGTCTTAATCTGTCTTTTTGGCTAAACATCCACCATTGCTCAATGCGTTAAGTATATACAATAAACATAATCGAGAAGTGAAAAAATTTAATTAATTTAAAAACCACAAAGAAAAGAACCAGAGTCTCAGAGGTGGACATTCGTCGATGACTTGTGAAAATAATTTCCAGCTATCGATATATTGCGCTGCTATTCAGCGGCAGGGCCGGCTACACTGCAAATTTTTAAATATTTTATATATTCTTACCTCGCTTTGTGCTAATTTATTTATCAGGCGTCGCTTCGAACAGGGCCAGAACTCCCACAATGGCTCCGTAAAAGCAATTTTGCCAAAATTTCGCATTTTAGCAGTATATATAATAATATATCCCGGAAATACTGAATAGCAAATATGTTCTATATTTGGTAATTAATAATAAGAATTTACCTAACTTATAGTAGCTTATCCTATATAATAAAAATAGGAATTGGTTCCACTTCCAGCGTACCTTGAGTTTCGCGAAAGGTTCTGGTATATGCTAGCATATGTATATCGATAGTTTTAATTCCCGATTGCCAACTTTTTAAGCGCCATTTCAGCGGCATTCGTTCGAAGTAGAAATTTGTCAGTTTATAAGTAATATTGCAGCAGAAATGTGTGAAGCTGGCAATCTAATTGACTTTGGGCAGGAGCCCGGCAATGAGGAGCCATGGTTCGAGGAGTCGAACAGTTTCAAGGGCCCATACGATCCCTTCGACTCCATGGAGAAGGAGGCCTGCGCCAAGGGCATCGCTTTGAAGGCCCAAATAACGGAGGTTATGTCGGTCGCCGAAGCTCATCCGGATTTGAGCAGCGAGAGCCCGCCCGTTGGCATGCGCAATGATTCGCCAAACCAAGGATGCGAAACACCCCTCCAGCGCTGCACCAGCAGCTCGTTCCAAAAGCAGCTGCTAAAGCTGAATGCCTCGCGATCGGCGGCCAACCTGCCCAAATCCAAGATCTGCCAGAGCGACACACCGTTCGAGAGGACGATCCTCAACGAAAACCAACAGATGCTGTCGGCTGAGTCGCCGCTGAAGCTCGTCGAAGACGACGACCTGGCCTCCAGTTTGAAATTCGAGCGGGATCTCCAAATGCTGCGTATTTCCAGTCTGGACGATCACAAAATGAACACAGAAACGGAGGAAATTCTTCAAACGACCGAAGAACCGCCAAAGGAGGGCGAGGTGTCCCAACTCTTGCAACGGCTAAGGGCGCTCGTCCATCAAGTGGTTGACAAGAGCAGTTGGCATTTGTTCGATGCCATAATAGAGCCTATTGCTGCTCTCATTGGTCCCAGGGTCAATCTGAATCCCATTCCCAGTGCCAACTCCCCAGAGGCCAAACAACCAGATAAGCCAGCTGCATTACCCTACACCCGACAGGGCACATTCGACCTAGATCTCCAAGTAAGTGTGTACTCTTGGCTGCGGGATCATTCATTTAATTGTATATTTTGTTGAAGGAAAATTGGACAAAGGGTTCTGGCAGTGCTGCAGTGGGCCAGGAGGAAGCGGCAGGGGCAGAAGTAGCGGTGCCGGGCACCAAAGTCCAGGACTTTCCCGATGCCATGACCTGCTCCGCGGCCACGTTTGACGGCGAGCCCCGTATCCCAGATCCCGCCGAATCCCTGTCCAGCCTGAACAGAAAGGAGTTCATGACCGAGCTAGTAGACGATACCCTTGCCCTGCAGATCAATGAGCTGCTGGAAAGGCATAAGCTCGGGCAATCAGTAGTCGGAGATCACGAACAGCATGGCATTGATCCGCGGCCAGTTATCCTGCTGGTGAATCCCACCAACTATGGCAGACAGGCCAAGACCCAGCCCAGTTGCATTGTGCAGCCCAACCCAGTGCCGCTGGGTGTTTCCAACGATGCGGACTCTATGCGTCGTCGATCCTCGTCCCTGTCCATTCACGACAAGCCCAAGATGCGCAAGGGGATCACAAAAGCTGAAAGCCAGGAGGAAAACCAACAGAATGTGCCGCCCAGGGAGGTAAAGAACACAGCCGCTTTGGCATCGTTCCGCCAGAGACGCAACTCATTCTCCACCACCATCAGCAATCCGCCTACAAAAATCGGCGAGAGCAGGCGCATCGTTTTGGATCGAATGAAAACGCCGCCCATAAACGAATCGGCGGTGGTGGATACCAAGCCCAGTGGAAACACAAAAGCAATGATACCCACTAAGCGTGTGGCTCCATTTGTAAAGCTACCCGCTGCTGCCGCATCCAACGAGACTACCTATCAACAGCCACGTCAATTGGCAGTGCCACGTAATGCCATTGTGCCCGAAACGCCCGTCTCCTTGCGCTCCAAGCCGGCCCCAAATGTCTTTGCCACCAGCACACCCTTGCCGCAGATGCGTTCGCAGCAACGCCGTTCCTTAAAGCCAGCATCCTCGACCATTTTGGCCAATGCCTCCTACACGACGCCGAGTTTCCGACGTCCGAGCTGCTCCAAGAAACCGGGCACCGGTTAGAGTGCCACTACCTGGTCCCGTGCAGCAATGTCGCCTGAAAGTGAATGTCTGAGGTTTTTCACCTTGAAGATAAACGCAAGCGGTTATCTCCACCGACATGTCCAGTTTTTCAAAATAAGTTAGATAAGACCACCATTACCATGCCCAGTTAAGTTAGTTAAGTCACTCGGATTGGGTTAGTCCACTCGAGTCGAGTCCTATGACGCGTTCCAAGTATGTTTAAGCTGAAACTAAGTTAATTGTGATCAAAGTAGTTTAGGCATTTCAATTTCAAATGTAATCAACACATCAGAAGTTAACTGTTTATTTTCTTAGTTATTATCGAGCGCTTTTACGACAGGATACATCATCATTTCATTTTTAATTTGCGCTGTTAATTAGATTCTCTCCTCCTTTCAATGCTCCAAGAGCACATTTCTCTATCGTTTATGGTTTAAAGTATCGCTAAGACATCAAAATTAAATTCAAAACAAAACAAAAAAAAAGGGTAAACACAATGAATTCTATTACTTGTTGAGCTTGCTCTTGAGAATGCTCAGCTGGGTGAGACAGTTGTCGCGATAGCTGCGGCGGGCGGCGAGCTGATCCAGGGGCACCATCTCGCCCAGCTGCTTGGCCACCTCGACGGCCACCGGGCCCTCCATCTTGGGCGTCGGTCCCATGGTCTCGCTAACCGCATATATGGTCTTGGAGTAGCGCTCAAAGTAATTGGCCATGCCCTCGGCATTGAGATGGGCCGTCTCCAGGGGACCCAGGAAGGCGTAACGTGGCCCCAGGCCGTTGCTCATCACACTGTCAATGTCCTTCACATTGAGGATGCCGGCCTCGACCAGGCGCCATGTCTCGTTGAGAATGGCATACTGGATGCGGTTAAGAGCGAAACCCTCAATCTCGCGGGACAGCGTAACTGGTTTCTGGCCAATCTCATCCATTATGGCGCGCGTCTTCACAACCCACTCCGGTTTGGTCCACGGTGCTGGCACTATCTCGACCAGGGGCACGTAGTACGGTGGGTTGACGGGATGGGAGACCAAAACCTGTTGTTCACAAAATCAAACGCAATTTGATTTAATTGGTAGCTCCAAAAACAAACCAAACAGAATGCATGTTATGGTTAAAAAAGTCTCGACCGTGTGATACCTCTGATATAGATTGAAATATTCTCTTTTATATCCAGACTGAAGTCTCGCTAAATGCTTGCAAACTGACTTAGAAATGAGCATTTAGAGAGCAAATACCCGAGCGATATATATTTTTTCCTTTAATTCCAGGTTTTACCCATTTATTTAAATATTTTTATAATTATTATTACTTATATTATCTTAATATATAAGATGCCTCTCCAAATACATATATCATTAAAGGCTCGCAAAAGATCCGTTTTAGAAGCAACCAGTAAATCGATTTGGCAAGAGCACGCATATTTCTTGGGGTTTCCATTTAGCTAATGCTTATTAATATGGATAAGGTGGAAAGCTCCATAAACCCCTAGTGCATCAACGAACCTAGTATACCTTCGCTCTCTTAGATTCCATTGCAGATATGACTACGTGGAATTGGAAATTGGGGACGAGGACGGATGACGCGAAGCGGACTGCATCAAGCGAGGTCGGAATAGTAAACCAGGTGAATTTAAAGCATTTGTCGGTATTAAATTAAGATAAAAGCTATAAACTTTTTTAACCAAAGACTATTTCTTCACTCTCAAAGAAATGTGTTCTTTCAAAACAAACTGAAACCGCTAGCTATCTGGACAGATTTATGGGGTGTACTCACGTTGGCCTTGTGCTTCAGGTCCGCGCTGAACAGGGAGGGAAGGAAAGTGCTGGTGGAGCTGGACAGAATGGTGTTGGGTCCCACGACGGCATCCAGTTGCTTGTACAAAGCCTTTTTCAGGTCCAGACGCTCGGGAATGCACTCCTGCACTAATATGGCGTCCTTGACCAGCTCCTTGAGGTCATTGGTTCCCGAAATGCAGCTGAACTGCTGGGCAGCACTCAGTTTGCCGCGTAGCAGGCCCTTGGACTCGAGATCCTGCAGCTCCTTCTGGGTGGCGGACAGAGCAGTGGAAACCTGCTCGGGCAGGATGTCGTACAACACCACCTGGTAGCCCACCGAGGCGAACAGCATCGACCAGGAGCGGCCAATGAGTCCACTGGAATGTATATACATATATAAAGTATCTATTGGCGATTCAAGTTGTTACAGGACTCATGGTCCTACTCTTACCTGCCTACGATGCCCACCTTCTCGTTCTTCTTCAGCTGCGACATGTCTGTGTTTGTTCGTTCACCTAGTTAACCTTCCGCTTTGGGGATCTGAGGAGCTGTCGACCACCAGTTGGGACGGCGTACAAGCGTTTGAGCGATTTGACGGTAGCGCAACTGGTTTAATATTGGGCGCGATAATGTGCGCGCTCCCGGCAGAGGTGAACCCGACCCAAGTGCCGCCGATGGTGTTGGCTGATTTCCGAGCAGATAGGAGCACACGGCGACGCTGCGATAGTGTGGCTGCCGGCGGCTGCTCTCCGTGAACACGCCCGCTAGGCAATCGGACGCCTGGTCCAGCCGCCACGCCTCCGTTCACGTTCCGAGATAAGATCTATTTATATCCACCTTCAGGCGGTTGTTTGGTGAGGAAAGTTACCACGCACAGAGTAATCCGTTAGTGGCTCAAAAAAAAAAAAAAAAAAAAAAAAGAAGTCAACGAATTTTCTACCGGGGGGCTGGGGCTGCGGACAAAACGGAACAAACGGTGTCGAAACGAAATGCCCTTAATTTGACATTTATTATTAATGCCGTTTTATAATGTGTGCCAACCCGACCGACCACCACCGATCGACGAGTATCTTTGTGATTTGTTGTACACACACTTTTTTATTTTCTTGGCTACTGTTGGACTGACACCGCGAATTTTCCTAAGCCGATGGCCAATGGAATTTTTTTTTTTGTGTTTTCCGTTGCTACTAATGCGTGTTCATGCATGCGTACATCATATGTATGTATGTATGTTGTGCCCTGAATGCAATGTGTGTACATACAGAATGGTATAACTGCAAAGTTATGTACATATGTATGTGTAAATGAATGCATTTTTGCATATACAAACATACTTCATAATATACATAGTTAGCAATAAGTAAATGAGGAAAATAAAATCTAAAGTACCTTTTATTAGGGTTTAATATCAATTTAAGTCACTTGTTTTGCGTGTACATATGTACAAACATACATACACATGTATTAAAAGGGATAACATTTAAATGCAGCAAAATGTTACAGTTTTATTTTAAATTAAAATATTAGGTATTAATAATTAAATTCGTATATGTATGTATGTATGTACATATGTATGTGTATTTACGAATTTTATTGCAGCTTGGGCTTAAATATGTATGTAAATTATTTTAAGGTTATCATTTTTCTTACTTATTCCTGCATTTGCAATTATGAACATATTCATTCATTTATAGTTATGTAAAGATGTACATATGTAAGATCTAGTTGATGACGTTTATATAGTTTGCTGTAAACAAATCTATATTTTTTGTATAGTATTTCACCTGCATTCTTATTTACAAAAGTTTGTTGTTTGTTGATAAGGTTGCAGATTAAAGTTTCGTGAGTATTAATACTGAAGCTGATAACAGCCTTTGAGAGTAAATACCTGATGTATAAACTATTCCCTTCCCATTCCCACTAGAAATTGGCGGAAGAGAAACGAAAAGAGAATTATTAAAAAAAAAAAATATGGAAAATTGGAAAATTAAACATAAATAAATTGCCGATGCAAATTAGTCTAAACAAAATCAAATTATTTATAAAGTAATAAATAAATTATTAATAATTGACAATTGTCCCACTATGACTATACAAAAATCGTTCAGTTCAACTTGAATTATAATCAAAAAATATAATTTATTGATTTTGTTCTATGGTGTTCTTTTGGATAATGGATAGTGTCTTAATTAAAGTTAGCTAGGATGCTTGCTGCTTACAGTGCCATCTTGCGACCCTCAATGGATATCTCCACGGCACGGCGACTCTCCTTCAGGCGCTTCGAGTCGAGGAAACGTTTCATGTGCTTCTCATAGCGGTTTGGCTTGCGCTTCGTTGCCTGAAATTTGTAAAATGCATAAATATGGAATCAAAATGCGCCGGCAGGAGCACGCACCTTGGAGACTTCACCCTCGACGGTTGACTTGGGGCGGATGACGTAGTCCTTGTTGGATGGCATAGGAACACGAGCGCGTGCCACCCAGCCAGGATCGCCTGGTCTAAGCGGCTTCTCTTCGCCGGATAGGGTCTGATTCAGGGATTGGGCATTACTGGTTGAGGCTGGCTGTGGCTCGGGGCTCTTGTGGCGATGGCGCGACATCTGCGCCAAATCGCGCTCCTGCCGCTCCTCCTTGCTCATCGCCGAGAAATTGCAACTGAGGTTGAATATGGGCCGTGCCCATTCGGAAATCAAGCGGCCGGCACGATCACGATTCTGTTTGGTCTCCTGTGGATGTTTGTATAAGTACATAACAGCCTTCCCGATGCCCGACTGTTTCAGCAATTCCTTTTGAATGGTTGGAAACTGCAAGCGAAGAGGATAATGGAATCACTATATTATACCTATTCCCATGGGGACACACTTACATCTGACAGGAGTTTGAGAATACTTTCGCGTATTTGAAGACAGGGCAGACTTTTATTTGGCAGCGGCGCTAGCCAGTCGGTTAGGACATCGAGTACGTTGTGCTCCAAAAAGGCATTCTGCAGATCCCTCTTGATCAGCTGCGACATTACTTGCTTGAGCATGGCTATCTTTTTGGTGGCCGGCTTTCCCATCACGTTCAGCTGCCGGTCATCATCCGAGGCGTTCTTCATGTTCACAATAAGCTGATCAATCAGATCGTCCATATCGTTGATCAGATCAATATCACCCTTGCGGCGGCGACGCACGCGCTTCTCCTCCTTCTTCAGCAGCATCATTTTATCAAAGTCCGAAATAAAGTTGCTATTGCTGCGCAAAGGCAAATATCAGTTAAGAAAACATCCTGCATTGCGGGAGAACTTACTCTGGTTCGTTTGAAACCGGCGTGTTCTCATCATCAGAACTCTCCACTGCCTTATTTGGGGACTTTTCCCGATCCTCCTCTTCCTCGTTATCCGTGTCCGTAATTTTGACACGCTTCTTCTGCATCTTCGGTCCTTCGTCTGCGAGAAGAGGGAATATTTATATGGTTAATCTACTTGTAGTAGAAGGTAATACCCACCTTCCGAGTCACTGATGGCCAAACGTTTGCGTCTGGCGAGGACACCCCCCTCCTTGGAATCCGCACTGCCCGAGCGTGAGCGATTATCGCGCGAGTCCTTGCGACGCCGCGAGCCAGCACTGTTGGATCGACTTCTGGAGCGCCTGGAGCCGCTTCGTGAACGCGCTGATCCGCTACGCGAGCGTTTGGAGCCGCTGCGAGAGCGACGGGAGCCGCTGCGAGAGCGACGAGAGCCACTGCGGGATCGTCTCGAACCACTACGAGATCGTCTGGAGCCAGAACCACTGCGGGAACGCGCCGACCCGCTACGGGAGCGCCTAGAACCGCTACGAGATCGTCTAGAGCCGCTACGTGAGCGCCTGGAGCCGCTGCGAGAACGCCTAGATCCAGATCCGCTGCGAGAACGATTGGATCCACTACGGGAACGCCTAGAGCCGCTGCGAGAGCGCCTGGAGCCGCTACGTGAACGTCTGGAGCCGCTGCGAGAGCGCCTAGACCCAGATCCGCTTCGAGAACGATTGGACCCACTGCGGGAGCGCCTGGAGCCGCTGCGAGAACGTCTGGAACCGCTGCGAGAGCGTCTGGAGCCGCTGCGAGATCGCACAGATCCAGATCCGCTGCGGGAGCGTCTGGAGCCGCTGCGAGAACGCCTAGATCCAGATCCGCTGCGGGAACGATTAGACCCACTGCGGGAGCGTCTACGCGAGCGCCGCGATGCATTGGAGTGTCGAGAGCCACTTCGAGAACGCGCAGAGCCACTGCGCGAGCGTCGGGATCCACTGGCTGCGGAGTGCGCAGATCCGCTGCGTGACCTGGACCGCGAGCGAGAGCGACTGTGATGGGATCCGCTTCGGGATCGCGCCTTCTCGCTATTGTGACTGCGGCTCCTGGAGCGCGAGACACGCGCATCGCCTCCAGCCCCGCCATATCCCTCTTCATTTGGCTCGCCTGCTGATGGCGATTGGCTCTGAGTACGCACATTCAACACTGACTCCGAACAGGTAGAGTCTGGCTCGGGAGCCCCCGATGTCTCAGCATCCGGGGCCAAGTCGCCTGCAATTTCGGTTGCATCGCGAGAGTTTCCGGCGTCGTCGCTGCTACTTATTTCTGGGCAGAAAAAAGCGTGTTATGGCGGCACAAACGGGAAACACATTTTGTAACCAACCTTGATCCATGAGTGCTTCCACGATGTCCGCAAAAGGATAAGAAAGTAACAAAAGGAAACACCGCTAATATCTAAGCACGGCTTGTGCCGTTAATCAGCAAAAGGATTTGATAAACTATTTGTACTTAAACGAAACAAAATTTAACCAACGAGTTATAAACGAGATGGAGAAAATGTCATCAAAACTGGCATCGATGTTTGCCAGGGCGTCATCGATGTTTTCCCACCTCTGACAGAGTAAAATGTAAAAAATTCTACACTTTTACATAGAATGTCAAATTTTCCTTGAGAATTTTCATTGGGAAATAATTCTCATATATTCTTATTTTTAGCAAGTTGTTCATGTAAAGACGCATAAAAATATAATTCATTGTGAAACCAAGAAGAATTTCAAAATTACCTAGAATGTTGAAGATCAAAAGTGTGAATAGTGTAGAGACTAATCGATATTTAAAATGTTCGATCTATCGACTATTCGTCCAATTACTAATAAGAAAATCAAAATAATAACAATAAAAAAATATAATTTGTTATCTACAAAGGGCGGGCCACAATACTGGGGCTGGGGGTCGTGGTAAAGCAGTTGCATTATATTTAATTCCGCAAACATGAAGCAGGAGCAAACCCCACTGTGTACGTAAACTTGTTTAATCTGCGAATTGTGATTTAATTTAGTTGGTTTTAAATGCCACAGCAATTTTTGCCGAGGACATCCTCAAGAATTATGGATCGTTCATGGAGGAGCATGATGATAAACTGAAATTGTTAAGCAACAAATTGCCCGTTTCCCATCATTCCGTCTCCGTTTCCCCAATATCAATGACGCCGGTGATTGAGCTAAACTTTGGCCGAAATGAGTCGTCTGCCGTTTCGGAGATGAGCTTCGAGGAGTCGGAATTGCTGGCGAATAAGACGCTTACGACGCTGGCGAACCTGTGCAATCAGTGCCGAAACTTGGCCCACACGGCAAGGCAGTATCAGCTGGCTTTCATGTTCAGTGACTTTCGGCTGCTGGACGATGTCCGTAGCTCCCCCGCTTCGGACGGTGCCGGGCTGGAGGGTCCGCTATTTCGCATGAGCGGCTCCATGGAGTTCTTCTGCCAAGTGTTCTTTCTGCTGAAGCGCATCGTTGTGATACTCCAGAATCTGTGGCGGCAAATATCTTCTGCCGCAGACAGCGTGCCAGCATCCAATATATTCGTAAGTAGGATCCAAACCCTTGATCACACTTGACTAAGGTCCTTTTTTTCCTGCAGACTGTATTTGATTGTATGACCGAACTGCTGGAGCACGCTGTCGTCTTCAGCGAACTGGCCGTCCAGTCGAAGATTTCGGTCAAGTGGACGCTGTACAAGGAGTGGCTGGTGACGCTCTCCCATAGCGGACTCACATCTGACCGTTGTTCGGGCTTTGAGCTAGCTGGCCTGCGGACTTCGCTGGCCGAAATGGAGAGCGTAATAGCGGGCAACCTCTTTCGGGTAAGAAGCGAAATCGGTGTGTTTTGCTACCGCTGTAATCCATATTTGTTGCTTAGCATCTTCTAGATAGCCTGCTGGAGTTGAAAAAGCAGTTCAGCCCAAAGGAAGTGGGCCACATCAGTCAGCACTCGAATGCCTACCTCCGCAAGCTGCTCCTGCAAATCGATGGAAATCAGAACAACGAATTGGGGAACTTCGAGGAACCCAAGCACTTGGTTCGCCTGGTCGCCTTCGTGGCAGTGCAACACGAACTGGGCATCCAGATGGAGGCGAAGTTGGTGCGGAATGTGTCCGATGTGGTTAATAGGCACCAGCGTTTGCCCCTGAATCAAAGCGTTTACTGGTCTCCCGGAGCGTTCCTGGCGCAGCATGCCAAGACCCTCCTGAAAACCCCGGCCAAGCTTCAGGATTTTCAGGGAGGAAAGGCGCATAGTTCGGTTCTGGAGAAGATTAAGTGCAGCGACCTGAAGAGCTGCCGCCAATTGGGGGCCCAAATTTCGCTATGGTCAATCAGTATTCAGAGGGTGCTCGATGCCGGGGTCTTTGGACGCCTAAAGACCTTCTCCCAGTTGATCCTCAGTGGGCAGTCGTATGCCGAGCAGGTGACCCGCCTGGCCGACTCGCTGGTTAACCGCCATGTGGCCCTGATGACGCCCCTCTCCAAGTCCGACTGGTTTGTGCTGTGCCGCCTGCTGCAGTATCTGAAAGTGCTACAAAAGACATTTGAATCGAACCAAATTGACTTTGTGCGCTTCACCAGCTCCCTGATTCAGTGGCAAAAACAGCGAGTCCTGCACTTGCTACAGACGACCAGGAAGAAGATCGTGGACTTAAAGCTGCTGCAGCGCAAGGTTAACTTTCTGTCAACGATGAAGCTGGCCGAGAAGTCAATACTGGGCTTTCCGAGCAAAAAACGTTTGACCTTCATAGATCTGGCCGTGGGCGAGTTCCTGGACAAGGATCGCCTCCTGCCCGCCGACAAGCATAAGGTCTTTCAGTCTATCCTTCAGCGGGCCAACAATCTCAACAGCTTTGGTAGCAACATGAGGCAGCAGTTGGATTCCTCGGGTCTTATATACAACTACTGGTTCCTCAGCACTTCCCTGCTCAAGGAGTTTACCGAGCAGCAGCGCAATCCTTACGCTCTACAGGTAAATGGTCAAATTCCCCGAAACCTTTATCTTACAGAGTAATTCGTTGTAGAACCTTGTGGCTGTGAGCTATCATTTGGAAAAGAGCATGGCCATTTTCGGGAGCAGCGACCAGTGCCCGCCAAAGCCAACGGCCAATAGCCTGATGATCGAGTTCCTGCGAACACACCTGGAGTTGTTTCTGCGCGTAGAAACCCTCTCGCATCTGTTCCAGAGCCAGGATCAACCCTTTCAGCAGAGCGTCTTGGACTACCGCCATTGCATCCAGGCGGCTGCAACGGAATTCGGCGGAGACTACAATATCATACGAGGTAAGGGGAATGTCTTTGGGTTATTATTAGGTTGCAAGCAGAGCTTGGTAAGATAATCCGTTTATGTTTACCATGTTTATTTACACTTCACCGGTTTGTCTGAGCAATATCTTCTGTTTATTTACTTTATTTTTCTTTTGGCTTTTATTTGTTTATGTTAGCAGAAGCTTTTTGTATATTTACACTCCCCAATTTCCAACCAAATGCATATATGTACACACACTTATCCCTCGGTCATCCTTCTTGCCTTCAGACAACCTTGAGAACTACTTCACGGCCACATTCTACAACCTGACAACGATTGCGCCGCACGACTGGAAGACGTACGAGAAGATGCGACACTTTGCCAGCAAAGTCCTGCAGCTGCGTCCCATTGACGACCATTTGCCCAACCAGATCATTGACCAGGTAAGACCCCACGGAATCTAGTGGTTGAATTTTTCAATCTTGTTAGTCTTCCCCCACCCACAGGGCATCGATGTGCTGCAGATCATGCGTAATATCCACACATTCGCCTCATCCTATGCCTACAACATGAACCTCCAGCTGTTCGTAGAGACGCACAGCAAGGGCAAGCACTTGGACATCATTGGCACTCGGCATGTGGCCAATTCAGTGCAGACCCACGGCTCGGGCATTATAAATACCACGGTGAACTTTATCTATCAGTTTCTGCGCCAGAAGTTCTACACCTTCTCCACCTTCCTGCACGACGAGCAGATCAAGTCGCGTCTGCTCAAGGAGCTGCGCTTTCACTCGGAGCACAAGCACATCAAGCCCTACCAATCGTACCCGTACGAGCGGGCCGAGAACTTTCTCAGGAAGATCAGGAAGCTGGGTTTCGCCAGCAATGGCGAGACCTACATTGACCTGTTTAGGAAAGTCATAACGCAAGTCGGTGGGTGGTATTTCCCTATCCTCTTTGGAATATATTATATATTTTAATATATTATATATTTTTTCTGTAGGTAATGCCGTGGGCTACGTTCGCCTTCTGCAGGCGGGAAGCAAGAACGCCAACTACCGGAGTCGCTCATACATGCCTAAGCTCGACATTCAGTTTGGTGTGGGAGATGAGCCTAAGGGACTGCTGGAGGCCACTGCGAGCTCCATCAAAGAGTACGAGAAGAGTGTGGGCCACATGAGGGAATGCTACTCCGGTCACACAAATTATTTTAAGGTAAAACGTATATATATAAGAAATATATAAGGAATTTACAAGGAATATATATTATATATTCCTGATATATTTCCCATGTATTCCCCAAATATTCCTGATACATACATGATATATTCCTTATCGATTCCTCATAGATCCCTCATATGTTCCTCATAGATTCCTCATACATTCCCCAAATATTCCTCATATGTATATTCCTATATTCCCGTTATCATATATTTATTATATAAGGTCTGATTGGATGATAATCCTGCTAACCATTCCAGTTGCTGGTGCAAGGCTTCAAGCCGTTCCTGTGCAATCCGCACAATCATCATTTAAAGACCTTCTACCTTATCACGCCGGCGCTGATCATGAACTACATTGACTACCGGGTTAAGGAGAAGCTGAAGATCCACCAGAAGGACCTGTCAAAGATGTCGCTGTTCGAGGATGGCTTCGCCGTCGGCCTTGTCTACATCCTGAGCATGCTGAACCAGCAAAGCGAATTCCATGAACTGGGCTGGAGCCAAACCACCGCCCAGCAGCTGAAGGAGGAACGCGCCAAGGTGCGCGACTTGCTTGCAGGCCAGCAGGCAACGGCCACGCCAACGAACGAGAAGCTGTCCCAGACGATGGCCATTACCGAGCACCATGTGAATGCCTACGAGCATGAGTACAATCTCTTGTACGCCACCCTAAGTAGCGCCGAGATATTCTTCCAATAAAGCTAACTGTCCTACAAAGTAGTTTTATTAACATGCAAAACGAGCAACTATTCAAAATATTGTTGTGGCAAAATGGCTTAAATTAGTTTATTAAATTAAACTGAATACCCTCCCCTCTGTAAAAAAAAAAAAAAACACACACACAAGATTCTCAGTAGTTAAGGTTGCCGTTTATTTAGTTTTCTTTATTAAGACGAAAATACAATTCCGATTCCGGTACATATCGTAGAACATTGTTAGAACATTATGTTGGTAATTAACGCTTAGAGGAAACAACGCTATGGGCTAATTTCGAAACGCAATGGATCGAACGGCTGCTGCTGCTTAATGGGAATGTGGATGTTACAAGTTTGAATTAACTTTCACTCTCCTGGGCCGCTGCTCTTTCGCGCAGCTTACAGACTCGGCTTCTTTTATTTCATTTTATGGAATTTTGGCCCCCACAAACAATTGATTTATTATCGTTGGCCAGAAACCAACCCAGTATGGGAGGAATACAATATATTCAAACATGTCTCTCTGTCTCTATTGAAAATATTTTGTATTGTATTTCGTAATATTACAGTAATTTGTAAAAAAAAAAAAATAATTGTTGGGGATAAAGTTGCAAATGCAAAATGGTTTCTTTCTTTTCGCCTTAACAGTATGCTTGTTGTATGGGTCGCCGTCGCGTGCGCTTAGAGAGAGCCACTGTTGGCCACCATGATCTTCTTGGAGGTCTTGCCGGACTGCGAGCCGTACGATTCGATCTTCTTGACCACATCCAGTCCCTCGACGACCTCACCGAAGACGACGTGCTTGTTGTCCAACCAGGCGGTCTTGACGGTGCAAATGAAGAACTGGGAGCCGTTGGTGTTGGCGCCAGCATTGGCCATCGACAGGATGCCAGAGCCGGTGTGCTTCAGCTGGAAGTTCTCATCGGGGAACTTGTTGCCGTAGATGGACTTGCCGCCAGTGCCGTTGTGGTTGGTGAAGTCGCCGCCCTGGCACATGAAGTTGGGGATGACGCGGTGGAAAATGGAGCCCTTGTAGCCGAATCCCTTCTCGCCGGTGCACAGAGCCCGGAAGTTCTCGGCGGTCTTGGGCACAACGTCGGAGCGCAGCTAAACGGAGCAGGAGGATCGAGAGGTGAGAGAGAGAGAGAGCAAAGGGATATCGATTAGTATGCAAATGAGTTCACACGCCACCGCAGATAAGCAGGGAAAATCAATTGAGGTGCACATACACACACATGCTTGATTGTCCCCAGATAGATATGTATGTATATATATTTGTATGCACGTGTGTATATACGGCACAATAGTCCTAGGCGGTTGCTTTGCCGGCAAATTGGCCGCAGGCGCCCAGCCTACTAAAAATACAACTCGGCGGCGGCGGCGGCGCGCAATGCCAAACTCTTGCCATACCGAAATGACCATATGTACGTACTGTATCAAATTACATCATCAGCGGAATTAATCTTAGTTCATTCTTGCAAACGGGTTTACTAAACTCTCATGCACACCGAGAGTCTTGGCGTGAGTGTGCTTGTGTCCACTTAGAGGTTATGTGTGCGTGTGTGCGCACACGCATACAGCAACACCAGAGAAATGTACACCGCACACCGATGTACAGGCGTATACACACAAATATATACCGGCAAACAGCAAACACATACACGCATACACGTTTGCCGACACCTCAATTAAGTTTGAAAAAATTCCACTGCATAGCGTTTTTCGTACACAGATGTGCATGATGATAGCATTCAAAGTATGGGGGAGTGCACCGTCATACGATTACTCATGTGCATGAGTAAGTTTTACCTTTGCGCTTTACAGTGTCGCAAGTTCAAAGGGACAACTTGCAGAGGCTATTTGAGGGGCGAGAAAATCACGTTTTCTCGCCATTAATCTAAGAGGATGCTAATTATATGCCCTTCCTAATGCATTCACACACATGTACATCCATGCATACATCATTTCAGCGGCAAACGGCGATATGAGATCACGTGTTTTCCGCCACTTGCACACGTACTTTCTGTACTTTCACAAGCTTTTAAAGTTTAAAATCTAATAAAAAAAAAAACTCGTGTTTGCAGCACTTAAACTAAAAACTCACCTCCATGGTTATCCTACCGAGGGGCTCGCCATCGGCGGTCATATCGAAAAATACCCTGGGCAAAGTACTCATCTTCGACGCTCTCGAATATTCGCGAACAAACTGAATTCCAAATTGCAACTGACCTCTGTTCACACTGCCCGCTGACGAAGCTAGGGTTATAGATTTTTTAGTTAAAATGGCGGACTCTGCAATGTGAAATGCCGCTGCCGAGTTGTGCCGAAAGTGGCGAATCAGAGTTGCACCGAAAAAGACCATCGTGTATGACAACGTGTGCGATACTACATACACGATGCCCTCGATTCCGCCGCTGCTAAGTGTTATATCACTCAGGGCGGCATCGATCTCGCCAGAAATGATATATTGTTATCAAATTATAAATTTAATTATATAATAATACTTTAAATTGCTTATGTATACTGCCCTACCTTCATTATAGCTTAAATTTATAAACTGTATTTATTGTTCGAAACTATTAGAAGAATTTGTTTTATTTAAAAAAGTACACACTTGCAGGAATTCAGTGCATTCTTTATGAAAATTCTGTGGCTTAAGAAATTATTTCCTTGTTTTACACATTTTCAAATTCCCGCATTGCTATTGGACTTAACGAATGTCCTTAACGTAAATGTTATCGATATATCGCCATTAAATTTACTTAATTGCTATTTGAAATACTTTTACAACAAATGTAAATACATTTATTTTTTGTCTTGTAAAAAGCCAGCAGCGTTTTAATGTATTAATTTTATTTAAAACCCTGATAATTAATAATTCACAATCCACCAACATTTTCAGGGATGGTACATGCCGAGCCAGGGCTCCGGTTCATACGATTTATTTAGGCGATAGTTTTACGTTACAATTCAAAATACGAAACGCACAACTTTGATAGTAAATACAGAATGAAACCTTTGTTTTATTTTTTACGAAAAAAAGAAATCACATAGGCCATGGACTCCAAATGTCAAGAGTAAAATAACATTCTCGAACCGGCTATGACCAAAATTCAGTGTGCTTCGAGTAAACATGAAACTGAAAACATTTTGAATTGTTCCAAATTTGTACTATTTTCTTCTTTTTGAAAAGTTTTGTCTCTGTTTTATTTTTACCATATTTACACTACATTTTCTAAAATATTTCCTGGCCTATGCGCGGTAAGTTAAGTTTCAAATTACGTGAAAAGGTAGATTTATTTATTTCCGTCATCCTCTTTAAAAATAAAAAAAGCCCCGTCCATGGTTATTCCGTCATATGCCCAGTTGCAGCGGGAGAAAACCTCGAAGCGTGAGGTTATCTCGACACTCTGTGATGAGGTGAACCAGGAGGAACCCTTACCCGTTGCGTACCCAGTCAAGCTTCAAGAAGCCTTGCACATGTAAGCTTTAATAGTGTAATCTACATCCATAAGCTTATTTCACCTTTGTTTTAGCAATCAAACTTAAATATGTATATATAATTAATCAAAACCTCTTTACGCCCCATGATTGGAATTTTGGCCACACCTCCCCTATATGTGGTCCTCTGTAAAACAAAAACGTCCTGTTACTAAAAGCTACCATGCGAACTTTAGTTAATTCTTTCATTGGGCACTCCAAGCGTTCCTTGGGTTCTCCATAAGAATAAGCCCAAATAGCGAAAATTATTAGCCCTATGGCCAAGCCGGCTAATAGGGATTTTCACTAAACATATTTGTTTTCTTTTCTTCAATAAGTGAACTCAAAAAACAAAGACGTCGAGACCAGGCGGAACGTACCTGAGATTCAAAAGCTCTGTGAATTATCATAGCTACCATAATAACCTATAATCCGTCACGTTGAAGTTGTGTAAAAAGCTGCAGCAGCTGAGAGCTAAAATATCCTCCAAAATATACACAAATTAACCAAATTTACTCTGGGGCCACCCATTGTGTTTTAACTTTTATATTATAATTTACAATCGTGTCCATAGATCCATATACACATATTTCTAACAAAATTCTATAATTTCGTGTTCTATACAAACGCACAAGGGAATTTTTCGCTACAATGGTGCTAACACATAGGCAATAAATATTGTTCTTGAGTATATATGTTATTATATATGGTATGTACATATCGATACAACAGAGGAGTCTTAATTGGATTAATTGGGAACAGCTCTTAGGAATCGGCAGAGGACCTCGTCCTCGAATCGGCTTCAGGCGGAACAGCAGCGGCGTACTCCTGGATATTGGTTGTGACTGTCGTGTAGCAGGATCCGCATAGCCTAACTGGGTTGAAAAGCTTTTCGTATGGCAAGGGCGCCCAAAACTCCGAGCAGTCAGCACAGAAAATTTCTCCACATGATCTGAAATTGAAACGAATAAAAACAACACCGGGAGTCAGTATTTGTAAATGTTTAAAAAGGTGGATTTAAAAATAAAACTATATTGTGTATTTTGCATTCAGTTCTTATATCCTTAAAATAGGGAACACCACCACGGCTGGGAAAACGCATTGCATTTGTTTTCATCATTTTTTACAAGTAAGCCCTAGACGCGCGATAGCAATTTTATATTTAATAATTGTACTCCACAAGCTTTGTAGTATTCATTACAGTAGATAATACATATATTTTTTAAATATTTAAAATAAAGCTTTACAGTAAACATTTAGTAAATAATTTCCATTTCCTCGTTTTCCCTCAGTTTCAAGTGTTCTGGTCTGAAATTTTTTTTATGTATATATTACTGACCTCAAAATGAATCTGAAAAAACAAACAAACCCGGTTAACATATTTAAAAATAGAAAAACATAATAAAACCAAGGCAATCCTTGATCTGTTTTTCACAATTTTTAATAATTTATAAAACTTACCTTATAAGTATTTTGTTTTAAACTTGCACATCACTAGTAAATAAAAACTTTGCTTTCACAGTGCCTAATAAGTAAATATTAAAACATATCTGGGCTGAAAATGTGTCAGCTTTCTGCGTTAGATTTTTATAGAAATTATTTGGGTTATAGCGGAGCTCTCAAGGTTGGTTTTTAATTCAGAATGAACCTTTTCACAGTTAAAAAAAAACGAGACAACGAGAAAACTAAAGTTTGTTTCTTGGACTGATAAAAACGGTTCTGTTTTATGACAGTAAGAAACACTTGGGCATAATAAAACGTAGTGAAAATGACAGTGTTCCTGAGGAAATTCTTGAGATGCTTTTTACCGATTTTACAGTGGCGTTCCCCTAGAAAGACTTAACAATTCCAAAACAGAACAATTAGAATTAGCAAATTCTAAAGAATGTACAGTTTGAGATATAAAAATGAAAATAAGACAATAAAAAAAAAAATGTTAAAAGAGCTCAGTTAGGGATACGGATGGCAAAAATATCGATTTATAGAGACTGTAATGCGAGTGTCAATATATTAATCAATATTTTAACGTTTCAACAATAAATGTAAGATAAATAGGTATTCTGATTGATATATCGAACGGTTAAAATTATTATTTTTATAAAAATAATTATGTGAAAAATTGGAAATAACATTTTTTCTATTCGATATTTCAAATTTCGATATACCCAACTTTACGATATTTTCGATATCAGACTTGAGTTGAATTTAATTAGTATTAAATTCAGAATCATTAGAAAAAGAAAAAAAATATATCAAAATATCTTTACTTTAAGATACAAAATATCTACGAATTTGGATGTGTTAATATGAAACTGAAGAGTCAATAGAATCAAAGGAATGCGCACCGACAATGATGTTTTCTTCGTCCAAGCCAGAACTCAGTTTGACAACTAGAGCAACGTGAAACGGCATGATCTGGTACCCAGAGGACACTGGAGGCTTTTTTCTCTTGGATCAGGGAAGGGGCAAACGATGGGGGACCACTACGTTCTTCGACGGCTTCCCATGAACACGTTGAAGCATTTTCAACGATATCCGATCCGTTTTCCTATAGGAAAGATTTATATATGTTATATTAGACGGCGACAAAAAATATATGAATAATATTAATTATTATCTCTGCTTGGCCTGATGACCGTATCCCTGGGTATTAATCAAACACTATCCTGGCTCTTCGACAAAAATACGTAGTATGCATAAGATTTTGTAGTTCAATCTGTATTTACATGTTCCACATTAGTCGAAACAACGCTGTTACAACTGGGGCAGCCTTTCTCCAACAAAGCCAGCCGCATGCCGTGTATTTCCCGCAGCAGAATTTCCTCGCGCAGCTAAGAAAAGTTTCAAGAGATTTGAGTCTAAGTTCGCATTGGAATCTTCAGGGAGAGAGAGAGCTTACCTTATGGTCTTGTACGATCTGATGAAGTCTTATATTTTGTTCGCTGAGGCCGTGCGCCAGACCATCGGGGCAGGATATGGTGAACTGTGCTCTCTCCTGAAACGGTGTCGGGGGCAATGAAATTAAGCCGGACGACGGATATTGATGGTGTGTGCTGAAAGTATAAAGTGATGGAATTTCATTATTTATTTTTATTATTTATAAATATATATATTTTTGTTTAACTTGTATTTTTTTATATTTTAAGATTTTAATATCCTAATATTTGAAATAATATTAGAATGAAATATTTGAATATTTTAACATTTAAATTTTTGAGTATTTATATATATATCTACATTTTTATGTATATCTTACCTGCCGTTTTCTGCCGTGAATTTCAGGTGACCCAGGTCGCGACTATAACTTGACCCGAAAGTATTCCTACGCACCCGACCGCCGCCGCCCACCACCGAAGGTACATCGAATGGTGAGGAATGGCCCACGAATCTCTGAAGCTCGGGCGACATGTACAAACTTTCATCAGCTACCACTGAGCTTCCATTTACATTCGCATCCTTGCTTAAATTCTCTGGCTTGCAGCGGACCGCGTTGTGCGCATTCTGCCTGGACACATGCAAGTCTAGGTGATGTGGAAACTGGTCTCCGCCTCGCTGCCGTGCGACGGTCGGCTTCATGTGAACCCGCGGCAAATTGTTATAGCTTTGACTGATTTTACTGCTTTGGACGCCGCCACCATCCACCGATTTCAGTTTCTTATCGCCGCTGTCATTAGTGTTGTCCACCGGCGTTGCATGGTTCTCGCCATTATTTTCGGTTAGAATCAGGGTATCGGTGCTGGTTTCAACGGTTCCATGCCACAACAGGGCATGGTCAGAGCCTTCTGATTTTGGAGGAGCTGGCTGCCGATCTGTAAGCAGTAAAATTGGTCCATAAATGTGATATTTGAGCAAGGAGTTGGTAGTTTTAGCTTACCTAAGGCTGTGTGGACTGTGGATCGGTCGGATCCAGGAGGGATCGGTTGCTGCGCTGCTTCCTTATCCAATTTATCACGGGCAGAAGGGGCTGCTGGTATACTTTGGTCGCTATAGAACTGTGGAATGCTATTATCTGCTGGGCCAGCTTGACCTGTTTCGGGCGTATCCGTAACATCTACACCACGTTCTTTGGAGTCTTTTGCATTGCTATCTTCGACATTTGCACAAACGTTTCTATTCTCCGTCTGCTCGGATCGAATGTCGAACATGGAGTTGCTATTGTTCACATTGAGGCAATCTGTGACACTGCAATTATTTATAATAATTATGAAATATATTTTCCGAGGGTCAATAAAGATGACACTTACATGGATTCAACTGTGAGGTTCGGATCGCTTGATCTCCTCGAAATGGTGCTTTGTCCCAGCTCATTCGTTGTCAAGTCTTCCGAGGATCTGGTCTTTGTCATCGTAACTGCGTTTTATTTGGAAATTAGTATTTATATATTATCCATAAAAGTCGGGCGAAAGCTAGGCAACACTCACCACCGTTGTGGACACTGCCAGTCTGCCTGTCATTGCTGTGCAATGATGACAGATCAGTTCCATTTTTGTTGCCTAAACTACCAAGGTAAACGTCCGACCAAAAATATAAAAACCGCACACTGTGTGCTGGCCAAAGAACCTAAAAAAGTAAAATTATTAAAAGCAACAACAATCGCTGCAAGATCAACGAGCTAAACCTTTTCAGTCTCATGCTTATAGAGGGGATTTCTATACATAGTTTCCGCTAAAAATGGCCACACGGAAAATGTTCGATCGAAAACGGAATTTTCAATGCGTTCCCTAAGCGAATTGCATAGGAACGTTCCAAATAGACAGGACAGCGAATGTTGCGCCAGTTTAATCTGCAATTAATATTATACAAGTATGTATAATAGGTTGAGGGTAATGCGTGTAAATACTTACCAAATAGCCTATACTAAACTCGAAGCTGCAGGGATACTGCCGGTGGATTTGATGAACCAAATCCAGCCATTGCAGAAAAACAGGGCAACGCTCGTTGACCTCCTCGGAGTTGGGACCGTTGCCAGAGCGATCGGCAAACTTATGACCGAAATTAAGCCACTCACGTTCGACGAGAACCCGAAAGCCCTGTGGATAGATAGAAGGGAATCGATCATAAGGAAGTACCTATAAACAAGGGACCGTAATTCTTATAGGTAACAAAGTAAAAATCTATAGGCTCTTAATGCAAATATAGCACCTAACATACTACCCGATACATACTTCCACCGTCCTGTAGTAGGGATCCAAGCAGAGTTGCGCCGTCGCCACTATCTGAGGCGTTCGATCCCAGCCGTCAGAGCAGTGGACAAGTACCGGGCGTCCGTTCTTTTCGATGGTGTGCACAACGGTCATGGTGGCGCCCAGTAGACCCGAAAGGTGCTGCATCCACATAGTTTTCTCCAGCTGACCGTACCAACTGTTTAACATTTATAATAATTATAATACAATTTTAGTTATTTGCATTTAAATCCACTCACTTTGGATCATCGGGCGAGGAGGCGCACAGCTGGCGGACAGCATGGAAACTCTTCCGGATTGCATGAATGTTGCCCAAGCTCATAAACTCTATTTCGGCGCATGGATAGTACTCAATACACTCACAACCGCCGCCACGGGCCCGATTCGTGACTGCCGACGTATAGCTTCGAGCATCCACAATAAGGATTTTCTAAAATAATAATCATAATAATAATCCAAATAGAGAATAGGAAAGGGCATCGAATTAATGATTTGCATACCCTGATTTCATCCAAAGTGAGCTCCTCGTGCGAGGAATCCTCTAGCGATGGCGAACTCTTGCCGGATGAACTCGATGGACAGTTGTTGGTTGTGTTGGTGGTGTCCCTGGCGGCGCTTTTGGTTTGATGCATATTTGCATTCGCATTCGCATTGGAGAAGGCGGAATGCCTAGTGTGCTCGCCCCTGTCGAAGGCACAGGCATCGGCCAAAGCCTTCAGCAGCTGTTCGTCCTTGGTGTTTCGCCATCCCAGCCAGCCCACCTCCGGCTGGCTGCAGCGAGCCAAAATAGCACCAGATTTCTGATGTCGCCAGACCACCGCCGGCAGACGTCGCGATCCTCGGAAATTGGCGACATTGTGAAGCATCTCGTCGGTGATGCAGCAGGGCACCAGCAACTTGGGCGGATACGAAGGGCACAGCTTGAAGTCGACATTCGCTGTGGAGATGCGCCAGGAGCCCTTCAGGTCGAAACCCAGGCGAGCGACCTCGTTCTTAAAGTCGCTTTCATACCGCACCGATCGCTGCAGGCGGCTGCTCACCGAGGGCACAGTGTCGACAGGATCGAGGGTAGGAAGCGGAACAGGTGCTGCGGGCACTGTGCTAAGCCTTGAAGAGCCGTTCGCCACCAACAGCGCTGTGCGCTCCTTGTTAGCCACGCCATTTTCATTGCCATTGGCCGTAGTTCCATTCGTTCCAATAGTGTCGCAGGTCCATGAGTAAAATGGAAACGCAAAGAGCGTCTCCAGCGTCTCGGGCACACCGATGAGCAGGTGGATTCGACGCTGCCAATCTGCGCACTGCTCTGCAGACTGGAATGAGCACCGCACAGTGCTGGCGTCCTTGCAGTTTAAAATCAGCTGAAACAGGTCGCGCACCTGAACCGATTCGATTAATCCCAGCGGTACGTAGGTCTCAAAGCCGGTTGACTTCTTCGAGAGATATATGCGGTAATTGGACAAGGCGAGAACGCCGTCATCGGTGCGTCCCAGGTACTTGATAGACTCGCCGGACACTGTATGTGGAAGCAGTTGTCGGTTAAGGTAGTAGGTTGTAGGTCAGGAGGAGTCTATACTTACGCTCTTGGAAGGGCACAAACAGCTGGGAATCTTCCTTCTCCATTTGTGATTTTGGATACGATTCGGCGGCACGGATAAAGCAAATTGACGGAGGCGGCGATCCATCGGACATTGTGTGAATCGGCTGGAATAAGAGTGGGCATGTATGTGAATAGTCTGTTTTGTTGCTTATGTTTGGGGGGGAGGCCAGGCCTGGCAAGGCGATCTGAGTGTCATTGGAAATCCGGTTATCGCTCAATATCCAACGTTCCGCCGCCGCCTGCCCCGACTACGTGTGACGCATTGCACATATTGAGACTGGGACTGAGACACAGAGCCTTTCAAGCCAATTCACTCTACATATGTTGGATGTAGGACGACGACGGCGACGACAATCTCTGCCTTCGGTGCGATGCATGTACATTTGTATGTACATACAAAGGCATACACATCAGTCGCCAGTGTGTCTGTGTGTGCTTTATGGAAATTCAAGCGCAACCAACACTTTTAGAACAAAATCGAAGTTAATATTTGAGTGTCGTGGTGGCAATATAGATAATGCATCCGTTTATGTGAACGCACACAGTTGTTGTTGTTGGGATGTACGTTGAGAAGGTGCGCAATACATAGATCGCTGCTTGTATGGATGTAAATATGTATGTATGTATATATACAAATAGATTATCGTAATTCCATAACCAATAAGCGGAGAAAAAACTGTCGAATTATCGTACTTGTTGGAGCTTAGCAAGTCCTCGCCGTCTCAGATTTTAATAATAAACTGCAAGCAGCAGCAGAAGCAGCAGCCAGTATGTTGTCATAAACAAAATAATTAAACATTAATGCGTGTGTAGCGACGAAGAGCAACAATAACAACACAGTATAATCGTCACATATGCATGCACACACATTCGAGGTCCACAAAAACGACTGGTTTGCGTTTATTTCCGTTTCGAAAACACTGTTCGCTTCAAACTCGCTCTATTTACCACCATAAAATCCATAAACGTCAGCTATTATAAACAAAGATTCGCAAATATTGTTGCACATACATATGCATTCATTTACACTTTTTTGTTTTTCGAAAAATTTCAACCACAAAGAAAATAACCAGAGTCTTAGAGGTGGACAAATTTGTCGATAACTTGTGAAAATAATTTCCAGCTATCGATATATTACGCTGCTATTCAGCGAAAGCCAGATTGGCGGGCGGCTACACTACAAATTTTTAAATATTTTATGTATTTATGCAAATAACTATAAATATTTGTAATTTTTTTTTCAGTCAAGCTCTTTTCTGCACTAAAAAGTCGCAGTGTACAGGCACTCGATCCCGATAACTAATTCAATTTAATTATTAATTATGTTAAATTAAATAGCATATCAATTCTGTACATATATTTAATATATATTTTGTTTAAATTCATTGAATTAACGTGTTTCAAAGAAAGAGAATAGACGGAAAAATATATTTTATTATTAGTAATTATGTAAAATTAAATAGTTTATCAAATGGTACCGTTCTTGCAGTATTTTTAGTATTATTTCCAAAATATACCACTATTAGCCGGACGGTATATTACAAGAGCCAAGCGACGGTCACACTGCTTAAAAACTCTGGCCGAGACCGATAAAAATTATAAAAAAGTTTTGTTTTGGCTACGTTTGCAGTGCGCCCAGCCAAGAGGCATCCATTCCATTCCAGCCGATGTGTGACTGAATTGCATTCAAACGCTTGGATTTCCACACCGGTGCACCAGAATCCACTTCCACCCACTATCCCCAGAATGATTGGAGCCAGAATCCGAAAGCTCGGGCCCTGCGTGGCCCTTGTTGCGGTGAGTCGACGTGTTCCGTTCCGTCCGGTTCTCGGTTTCCGATACTCGGATTCTCCGAATAAAGTACGGCGGGCGGCTGGTGGTCTGGTGGCGGGCGGCATGCGACTTTCGGCGTGCGGTTAAGTAAAAAATCAACCACGCCGCCCCGTACTTGTTGTTGTGGCACACCAAGTCGCGCTCGCTTTATCTCCACATCTAATTCCAGGTGCTTCAGCTGCTCCATTCGGCAGCGCCAGCAGATGCGGGAGCCGTTCCCATGACCAGTGACAACATCGACATGACTCTAGGTAAGAACCGGCATCGCGATATCGCCACAGCAACCGACACGGGCTGCAGAAAATCAATTAAGTGACTTGTTGGGTATTGACGTGTCGCAAAACACAAAAATCAGTGGATCATGTCAATTTGGGCCTTGCTAACGTGGTAAATTTTGTTTTTAGTTTTGCCTATGCAAAGTAAATGTATTCAACGGAACAAAAACATATTTTCTGAGAAATTTCGAATTAGTCATCGCCGAACTCACGATAAGGCCTATCGTGAACAGATCGTTTTTGTAGGATTCTTAAAATTTAAACATTTTTGATTAAAACTTGTCACGAATTAGAATTGCAAATAATGAAAATATGAAAATTTTTTTTTTTTTTTTTGTTAAAATTTTTATTTTTGTATTTTAGCTAAAAACAGGAAAATCGAACACAAATTGTTTTACGAGACTTTTGTTTTAATCGGTAGAAAGACCCAGCTGAGCGCGCGAACAGTTGTTTTGATTGTTATTTTTTTAGATTCAATGGATTAATGGAATGCACACAATATATTGTTATATCCAATTCGTTTTTTTTTTTTGACCTGATGTTATTGTTGAGACCAAAACCAGAAGCAATAAGAATAATCGAATGGTTGGAAAGAGAGATATTCACCAGCTCTTTTATTTTCAAGGATTTCAACTGATTTCAATATTCCCAAAACTAAACGAAGCCTTGATTCATTTTAAAACCTTATAAAACTTAGCCGTCGAGTCATTTTCTACCTTTACTGTTAAAGTCCCTGTTAATTAACCGAGGAAGAAACATACCACATACAAATTTAGTAAAATTAAATCTTTTTTTATACCCTTCTCCAATTTATTCGATCGAATAAGATTAATAGAATACTAAATACTAAGTGTTAAATTTCAAATTGACAGGAAGTCAAGGTCCCTGTTAATGTTAGCGTTAGTAAAATTAAATCTATTTTTTTTATACCCTTTTCCAATTTATTTGAACAAAAAAGATTAACAAGATTACTAAATACTAAGTATTAAGCTTCAAATTGTCAAGAAGTCAAGGTCCCTGTTAATGTTAGCGTTAGGAAAACAAATTTGCCTCGCCTTAAGTTCCTAAATCAATTAATATCCTTTTACAGAGTAATTAATAGAACGGTGAAGAATTCACCTAGTCTTTAACATTCCCTTATCTTATCTTGTATGCGCAGAATTACACTTTAGTTATTTGCTACGACAACTGTTATCAGCCTTTACGAGTCGGGAATAAACTTGGCAATACCATTAGTTTTTAGATACCACTAATTCTCTGATGCTGCAAAACGAAATGTTTAGAAAGAAAATACAAAATTGCAACCCTAGATATTGCGCTGTGGTGGTTCCCAAATAATTGTTTATTTCTCCTTATCACACACACACAAAACTCTGGTGCTTCCACATTAAAAACACGCTTTGTTTTATTGCAGCGTCTAATGAATTGGTTTTCCTTAATTTTTATGCGGAGTGGTGTCGGTTTAGTAATATTTTAGCGCCTATATTCAGTGAAGCGGCAGATAAGGTGAGTCCCATGGATCGTTAGCTATAACTGAAACGAAAAGGAGGCTGCCAAAGTCCCTGCTAATGCATTACCGTAACGAAAGAGCTGCGATTACACAGCAAATTACCTAACGTTCTATTCCAGATCAAGGCCGAGTTCCCAGAAGCCGGTAAGGTGGTGCTAGGCAAGGTGGACTGCGACAAGGAGACTGCAATCGCGTCCCGGTTTCACATCAACAAGTATCCAACTCTGAAGATCGTCCGGAATGGACAGCTCAGCAAGCGCGAGTACCGGGGCCAGCGTTCAGCGGACGCGTTCCTTGAGTTTGTAAAGAAGCAGCTCGAGGATCCCATTCAGGAGTTCAAGTCCCTCAAGGATCTGGAGAATCTCGATTCAAAGAAGCGCCTCATTCTGGGCTACTTTGACCGCAGGGATCAGCCGGAGTATGATATTTTCCGCAAGGTGGCCACCAATCTGAAGGAGGACTGTCAGTTCCACGTTGGCTTTGGGGAGGCCGCTCAGGCCATGCATCCTCCTGGTAAACGTCATTGGGAGACCCTTTAACCAGCACCGTAAAACACTGAGCTTTTCCTTCTCTGCTTTCAGGCACACCGATAATAGTATTTAGGCCCGATGTGGCTTTGTCCCATGAAAACGATGAAACCTACACGGGCTCTCTGCAGAATTTCGACGAGCTAAAGATTTGGATTCAGGAAAAGTGTGTGCCCCTGGTGCGGGAAATTACGTTCGAGAATGCCGAAGAACTCACCGAGGAGGGACTGCCGTTCCTGATTATGTTCCATCGCCCAGACGATCTCAACTCCATCAAGGACTACAAGTCGATCATTGAGCGTCAGTTGCTGGATGAGAAACGTAAGATGGGAATAGAATGCTTGCTTCTTCACCTCCTAAATTCCCATTTAAACATCCAGAGAATGTCAACTTTCTGACCGCCGATGGCAAGCGATTCGCCCATCCGCTGCATCACTTGGGAAAATCGGAGGACGACCTGCCCCTGATCGCCATCGATTCCTTCAAGCACATGTATCTCTTTCCACACTTCAGCGACATGTATTCGCCGGGCAAGCTGAAGCAGTTCCTCCAGGATCTCTACAGCGGCAAGCTGCACCGGTAACTAATATTATTGCCAAGCAATTTCATTTTCTTATCCATGTTCTGCCTTGCATTTGCAGAGAGTTTCATTATGGGCCGGATCCCACGAATGAGATACAGCCTGATGCCCACAGCGGCAAGGGTACCTCACCTCCCGAGTCTAAATTCAAGGAACTTGGGCCATCCAAGCATCGCTATACCCTACTAGAAAAAGATGAACTGTAATATTATTATGTATATGCAAAACAAAAAGTAATAATATTAAAAAAAATTTTATAAAAACAATTCACTTGGCATGCTTTATTGAAAACTTTTCCTAAAAATGTGTTCAATTTGGTATTGAAATTTATTTCGGGGTATAGGAGTTATTTGGAATCTGCGGAATTATCAGATATCAACAAAATATAATACATTCATTAAAGAAGAAGTGTCCCGATTTCCGTCTATACTCCACATAGTTCGCCACCAAGGACAACACGAAGATAGATAGTTTAATGCAACATTGTTCTTGTGATAAATATAATAACATATTTATATGGTATTTGTGAATTGCTGAAGCTTAATCCTGTTAGTTGGGATCTGTCAGCAAGGATAAAGGTTTGAATACAATTGTGGACCTGGCTGAAGACGGGGGTTGTGGTCTTCCCTCAGGCGTGGCAGGCGAAGCGCTATCATTGGCCGTTGAGGTTCCTGGCGGAGTCTGCTCCTCCTCCTTGAACGCCTTTCCATCTTTCGAAGAACCTGCATTAGCCTTCTTCTTCTTCTTTGAATCCTGCTTGGTCTCATTGGGACTGGGCTTGCCGGCACGCTTGCCTAATTGCTGGCGGTGAACCCCGGCTCCCTCTTCAGTTTCCGACTCAGTTTTGTAGGTCGCCTTGACCTCGATGCCGGCGTCCAGTGGCTTCTATTCTTTCTCTTGTTGCTCCTTGGTGTGCGGAGTCATCTTGGATAAGTCGGTCATGTTGTGGTTATGCTAATAGTAGCGCTTGGAAAGCTGCAATGAAAACGGTGCTGTCCGAACACGGTGAAGCCTTTGACGTTAGTCCAACCTTTGAAGTGAATATTAAGCCAGGGACAGCAGCCTGACATTGCATTTCATGGGCTCCTCTGATCTTTAAACAAAATCGGAAAAGTTCTAAAAACATCGATGAGTAAGTTTTGTTCTTAAAAATGTCAATGCCGGTTCAATACCGTGAAAAAATAATATAAAAAATTAAATTATTTTCCGTTCTGGGTTCATTGATTTTTCCCAGTTCTAGTATATGTATATATCTCTCTCTTTCTATGTATTTAAATTGCACCTGCCTCACAGATACAGTTTAGGGAAGGGGTTTCGTCTATAGATGAGTTTTACATATACGTTTTTATTTGTATGTATCATATTAGTTACATTTGTTAAATTAGATTACATATATAAATATATAATTGTATATCTAGGTCGAAACGAGCGATAACCGGGGCCATACATGTATGTGTGTGTGTGTGTGTGAGTGTTTGGCGACAAATCGGTTGAAAGTAATTATGCGCTGGCATTTGGATTTTGCTCTGACGTAAATTTAAAAGTACATTAAAAGAGAGTACTCGCTACAATTAATACGTAAATGTGAAAAAAATGTGTTCTGCCCACCAATCGCAGCTGGTTAGTAAGGCCTAGAGCGCATGCCACCGTCGTTGCGCATGGGTCCGCCGCCATCGCGCCTGTTACCTCCGCCGCCGCCACCTCCGCGGCCACGACCGCCACCCCCTCCGCCGTTGTTGTCGTTGTAGCGCGAGTAGCCCCCACCGCCACCGCCAGAGTTACCTCCACGGTCTCTGTTTTGATATCCTCCACCGCCACCGCCGGATCCGCGATCGTTGCCACGATCACTCATGCCGCCGCCGTAGCCTCCTCCGCCGCCGCCTCCGTAGCCACCACCACCGCCGCCGGAACCATCTTCATCGCCCTTAGGAGTCTTGCACCTGCAAAGATTAACCATTAAATCCACTGCCAAAGTGTCATTTTCAAGTCCCGCTTACCGGTTGCACTCGTTGCGCCAGGCAAAGTTGGTGTTGTTGCAGCTGTTGCACTTCCAGTCGCCGTCACGGGGCTGAACATTGCCGCCTCCACCGCCACCACCTCCTCCGCCACCGCCGCCACGATCGAAGCGATTGCCACCACCTCCTCCTCCGCCGCCGCCACCGCGATCAAAGCGGCCACCGCCGCCGCCGCCACCAGGACCACCGCCGCCGCCACGTCTTCCACCGAAGCCGCCGCGACCGCCGCCGCCCTTGTTCCAGTTGTTTTGGCGCTGCGCCAGTGACACCTTGATCGTGCAGCCATTAAAATCACGGCCATCGAACCATTCGATGGCAGACTGAGCAGCATTGGTGTCATCGTAGGTCACCGTTGCCTCGCCTTTAGAGGCGCCAGTCTCCTTATTCTTGTACAGCCAAATTTTGGGCTTCATGGTGCGCTTGTCCTTCTGCAAAGCCACAAAAGATGTTGGGTTAGACATAAAAGAATCATAAAGATGAGTAATGCCATAAAATTGTTTGTTTTGTACTTAATCCCTTAGGCCCCAAAAAGTGCCTTGAGGCACTTAATGTTATAAGTGGCCGTTATGCATCTTGTTATTATTAGGTTCTTAGCGTACAACACCCACCTTGATTATGCCAATGGCACCGAAGTGCGTCTCAATATCATTTTCAGTGGTATTGGGATCCATGCCAGAGACAAAGATTGTGTCCTCTTGAGTGATCATGTCCCCGCTGCTGGAACCGCCGCCCCCTCCACCACCGCCAGAGTATCCACCGCCGCCGCTGGGTCCTACAAAAGCGAATGGGATGTTAGAAAACGCTGACAAAGGGCAGGGCATAGCTTAGAATGGAACTGCGGATATATAATCGGAATTAGAAATTTTTTTTTCGATTTCTCTCATTTTTCCCTTTTTCTTTATTTAATATATATATATATATATATATATATATATATAGATTTTTTTTTGTTTTGTTTTTTAATAACTCAACGCAACGAAGATGAAGAAGCCCCTAAGTAAAGTACAAACACCTTGCATCGCATCATTGGGTTATTCCTTAAGTGATTATATAGAAAGCGATGAAAACCAGAATTTTGAGGCGTGTTTATATATATATCAAGAAACCTTTTGGTAGTCACAGGGAGGAGACATGGGTAAGACGACACTTTCGATTTCGACATGGTTTTTGTTCTTAGTTCGTTACGGGCTACAAGCACACCCCCAGAGCCCGGAACCCGAAACCCAGAACAAGAAGATAATACCAATGACCTTGAATTGCCAGGAGGGAGAAAGGAGAACGATAACGAGAACCCAACCGACCGATGCACCTCCTTATAAAAGCCTTAATTACACGCAGCAGCATTATTGCACTGAAATATTTGTAGCTTAAGTAACCCTTCCTGGCGGACCGATTCCCGTCTGGAGATCGACGAGATACACTGAATAATAAGTAGCACACTAAAACACACTCTATATTGATAGAAATATACGAAGGAATTGTAACCACACATCGGATTCAGTGATTTATATCATATTCTTTCGGTTTCGGTTTTGGTTTTGGAATTTCGATTTCAACTCTGTTTCTGTTTGTTCTGTTTTCTGCTCTAATCAGTTTTTGGCTTTGTATATATGTATATATTTTTTTTTTTTTGGTTCAATATGTAGAAAAAAATATATTTGGTATACATTACTCGATATGATTTGCAAAATGATTTGCATTATTTTTACCTTTGTTGTAGCTGTCCTTGCTGGCGCCTCCATTTCTAAAAGAGGATATTGAATAACTTATTTAATGCTTTAAATTTGGTTGTTGTTGTTTGTAGTATGCAGTATGGTGAGGTGGTATACGCCTAGGATCCCCTCTCAATCAAATACAAATACATATGTCAAAGTCGGACCCCAGAGGACTCTAGTCCTAGTCCAGCACAATTTAATCAGTGACGGGCTAAGGCAATTGCCCTTCAAGAGTTCCACAATCGATGTCACTGATCAAAGTGCTCTGGAGGATTTAAGGGTAAACACTTAAATTAAAACACTATTGATACATCTATGTAAATAGCCACAGAAGCGAAAGAGACGGCGAGTGACGTAGACTCTCGATCTGTGATGACCAGGGATTAGTCCGGATCAATCATCATCAGTCGGGTCAGTGTCCATTTACAGTATAGTTATTAAGACTAAACTTAAACAAAAACACTTAAAGGCGAACTCTTTCAGTCCTTGAGTCCCATTTTTCACTTCTCTTGATATAAAATATATTATAATTGTAAGAAATCGTTCTAGTTCGATATTAAAACCATTATAAATACTATTTAGTTGTAAAAAATCGGTAAAATCACTTGTAATAGTTATTATCTGAGACTTACTACTAAAAATAGGGCAATAAGTTAATAACCATAGTTCTAGAATATACTTAAATGTATATGTACGTACAGCTAAAACTGCAATACTTAAAACACTATAAATCAGAATATACTTAAAAGTAATAACATTCAACATAAATGGGAGATACGATATTATTTAGAACCACACCAGATTGTCTTCCGAATTGATTATATATTCGCTTATTTATTATTTAAATATTTTTTACCATTATCATTCATGTCATACACTTGTCATATACTCGTTTTCTGTTTTGTTGGCGACTTTTGAATGCATAACTTGGGCCCATTAAGCTATTACATGTCTTTAGTTGTTACCCTTTACGTGTCTATACATATAATTAATGCTTGAATAGTTTAAAGGGGTTTTAAAAAGTATTCTTGTTGATGAAGGTGTTCATGCAAAACGACGTGTAACGGATACTATTTAATTAATTGGCCGCGATTCTCTACAAGTTCATTCAAGTTTTGTATTTTTTTTTTCAGGGAATACCATTCATTTACTGGACCAAATTTCATGGGTTTGTGTTTTGGAAGTTGGAATCAAATTGTGATTGCAGCGAATAGATTACAATATGGCTTCCCCAAGGGCGATTTACGAGTTTTATACATATTTACCATATAGTACATAATTTTTTGCATCGTTTTTAAAAACCGTTTTGTTGTTTCGTGCGTTGTGTTCCACTGAATATTTCGAATTAATTCGAACCATGTGTGCATTTTGGAAATAATATATGCGTATATATTCAAAAGCAACATGAAAAATAAACAATACAGAGCGACACACACATTCGGGACTCGGATTATACATATTCTCCGTTCAAGCCGAGCCATTTCTCGCTCTCTTTTTAACGTTTGACACCTTTTTCGATTTACATTTACATTCACATTCGAATTCGACTTGAATATCGCCAAAGCGGATGCTCTGCTCTGTCATTACACATTTTACATTTTAGGCTTCTGATTCTGTTTCTGTTTCGAGTCATTGGCTTGGTTTTGTCGAATAGGCTGGTTCATTAAAGGGTTAATTGTACACTTTGCTTATAAATCTGTTGTTACCCGCCGTGGAACGCTACCCAAGATCTCTATACCGAGTTAGGTGGTATATGTTAATAACATACCCGTATGAGTTGCCTCTGTCGTTCCATGAGCCACGATGACCACCGGAATCATAACCTTAAACATAAATGTGTCGATTGAGCAGCATTCGAGGCCGGGAGCTTTGTCAAAACCTTACCACCGCCCTGCTTGCCGTAGTTTGGAGGTGGTTCGTTGTAGTTACCAGTTTTATTTGGCTGTTGTTGGTAGTTCGGTGGGGGGACAGCGAAATTATTATATCCCTGCCCGGCACCACCACCATAGCCGCCACCTACGGTACACATATTTCAGACATTTTCACGCCATCAATGCGTTATTTGTGGGCTGTACTTACGGTCCATGTTCAATTAACAGTTGCAACAGTCTTTTAACAAGTAGAACTTTACGATTTTCAGGAGCGAAACTCCTTTTTTCACAAATATTTCCTAAATGGATTTTCGTAGCGTCAGTTTTTTTTTTTTATGAAAATGGCGTGTGATAGAGTTGCAAAAACTTCGATGCCAACATTGCTGTCATCGATGTTTCGAAAACATCGCTAGCGTCGATGATGCCCATCGATGTTTTTCCATCTCTAAGGCGCGAGTGAAAAAAATAAAATGTCAAATAAAAGGTAAATAACGGGTAAATATTTTATATTTTTGTTATAAATTTCTGGCACTAACAGGTAAATATTTGATATATTTTTTATTATTTATTTCGCACTTTTATAAGTGCTTAAAATAAATATTGCCAATTTTTCAGCGATAGTTCATATCGATATACTTTCTAACAATCGAAATGAATATACAGGCGTAAATTCCTTTAATAAAGAACGACAGCTTATATATAACAAACAAATGCATTTTGATTATTTATTTATGATTTTTAGCAAAGTACTCCCGATAGAAGTTTGCGCGTTGAGCTCCCTGCCGCGTTTTACAACACTGTTTTGCATGCAGCCCTGCAATGATTGTTTATATTCACGAAACGTTTGAATAAAGGCCGATCAGCTGTTCGGGTTTCAAAATTTGTCTGCTGTTTACGTGGAATTTCTACTCGAAACCAAATAAATAAATCGCCATGATTGAGATCACAGACCTGCAAAGTAAGTTGCCGCTTCGGCAAGAGGAGGCTCGAGCTCGCCCACTAACCTTACGCACACACCTCGAATCTCTTCACAGAAATTGGCATCGGCTTGGCTGGCTTTGGCATTTCATTTCTGTTCCTCGGCATGCTGCTGCTATTCGACACAGGCTTGCTCGCTATTGGCAATGTATGTAGCGCCGCACCTTTGCACCCGGCAAGACTAACGAGCTTCTGCTCTCCTTCCACAGATCCTATTCATATCGGGCCTGGGCTGTGTGATCGGCGTGGAGCGTACCCTGCGCTTTTTCTTCCAGCGGCACAAAGTCAAGGGCACGACAGCCTTCTTTGGTGGAATATTCTTCGTTCTGCTGGGCTTTCCTATCATCGGGATGATCATTGAGTGCTATGGATTCTTTGCACTGTTCAGGTTCGCCAAGTTCTATTTTAATTCACATTTTTCCTTCTGCCAGTAGCTGTCGTTAAAAGGCACTCAACGTACTTTCCGTTAATTGTAAACTGTATTAAATTATTTTGCTTTTACCATAGTTCAGAGGTTAATTAACTTGACGCCTCTTAGGTTCTTTAAATTTCTTATTCGCTGGCACACATAGAAAGCTTGTGATGCTGATAGCTTCATCATAGGTTACCATTATGTTTTACATCAATGTAGATAGAGTTAAAGTGTGTCTTAGTTGCTTATTACCTTCCTATTGGAACTAATATTTGTATAACTACAATATTGTATGAATTTAATGGTCAACTGTTGTATTTATTACCTTGTCTATATTGATTATTTCATTTACTAAAATAAGACAAACGGTAGACAATCGTGGAAAAGTGACTATAAAAGTGGCATATTTAATTTAGATTATAATTCTGGCCCTAAACTTGCAAATTATCTGTTTAAACATTGTTAACTACCTTCCCATTTTACTATTTCAAGACACACATGCAACAACCAAAGCTATTGCCTTTTTTTTTTTTTTTTGGAAAAAACGCAATGTTGAATATGAGTGAAATGACAATATGATTATTTTAACAATTCAACTCAACTAACTTTTGCTTTTTGCCTAGTTTTTATATCTTTATCTGTTAATCTTGTAATCTTGTATCCCTTGAAAACTTTCCAAATCAATTCATGAATACTAATAACCTAATGCATCTCTTGCAGCGGTTTCTTCCCGGTGGCCATAAATTTCCTTGGACGCGTGCCAGTGCTAGGATCGTTTTTCAATTTACCATTTATGCAACAGGTAAGAGGGCAGCATGAATAATGCTTAAGTTCATCAACAACCATCATTCCATCGTGCCATCGGCACGGACCTCCATACACACACATCTCTTGTCACGACGAGAAATCCCACTGAATAAACACTGGAACGGGTTCTCTAAACAACCAAGCGGAAAGTCGGTTTCATAGCCAATTTTGGTTTTAATCTAAGCTATGTATTTCAACATTTACAAGTCCAAAGAAAGTGAGTAGTGGGCGCGACACAATTAGTGGTTCTTGTTCCAGTCCTCGCGTTCCTCGCGCTCCTTGACCACCTCGTTCAGATAGGGCTCCAAGTACTTGACATCCTCCTCGTACTTGGTCCACTGCTCCTTGGGCAGGATCGTCTTGGTCATGGACAGGTGCAGGGCACGCATGATGCGGTAGTTGCGCTCATCGTACAGCTTGCGGGGCAGGCGGCGGACGGCCTCCTTCACGTCCTCGTTCTCGTACAGGCAGTCGTCACGGTGCAGACCTGGAATAACCAACACATGGATGATTTGCCCGACACACATCGCGTGCTCTTCTCCTTACCGTACTGGTTGAATCCAGACAGATTGTAGGCCCATCGTCCCAGGTTGGCTGCGGTTGGAAGGAAAAATTCGCGTTATATATTTACGTAATCAGTGTGGAGCACAACGGCTCGTTGAACGTTGACGCAGTGATAAAAGTGTCCAGGGTGTTCCTTTTCTCCCTGGGGATACTCACACAAAACCGCTGGACCTCTCCTGGCAATGTAGCTCGACATTATTTACGTTGAACGAGGGAAAATTTGGATAAATCGAACGTTTGTCTTTTGCTTTTAGGTATGGCCAGCTGGCTGCAGCTAGAGGTGAGAGTCGGGCTAGTTATCGAATGCAATCAACTGAACTATCGAAACGTTAGGGTTGCGTTGACGAAGTCGGTTCACCGTTTTATTCGATTATTTTTTCAATTTCCACAAGTGGGAAAAGAATAAAAACGCAAAATCTATTTTTTTATATCAAGCAACAAAAAGGAAATGGCTCTGATTTAGCCAAAATATTTACCTATACTTTTCTCTTTTCTATTTTCTTTTTAGATTGTCCAAAAACTTGGTGGAGATGGCAACCGAACAACGGTGTAAAATATTTGTAGAACTTATCTTAAATTTACAAAGACTTGTTTGTGTAAAAAGGTTAATAAATTCAAATAAAATTCTTGTAAAACAAATGTTTTGAGCAAGTTATCGATTGAACTAAAGGGACTTTAATTTTGTACATATTCATCTTTCTTTTTTTACATTTAAAAGCCATAAAAAATGTATTTAAAATATAAGTAATTCATCTTTTGCGTGGTAAGTTAAGGTCTTAGTATTTATAATTTTTAAAGTTTTTTTTTTATAGACATAATAATACAATTATTAAAGAATGAAAAGACAATAAAAATAAATAAGAGACTAAATTAAAAAAGCTGTAAAAATAAGGTTTGTTTTTCTTTAAAATAATTAAAAAGTAAGGACAAAAAATTATTTTCTTTCTAAATATAATGTTATATATTAAACCACTTTACTATCATTTTTTATAATTTGTTTTACAATTTCTTCTGACTAATCATGAGCAGAAAAACAGTCACTGTCTGACTCAATTTACTAGAGTAAATAACAAGAAAATCCATTCATTTTAAGTTATCTGGATCCGTCTTTGTATTACAATGCACTTGTCATACATTTGCAGGGTATTATACTTTTTTAAAATTGTCAAAAAATCATAAAATTGGTCTTTTTCTAAATTATTAAACTTTTTTCTATGCTTTATTTGTTAACCTAATAGAAGTTGGCACATACATTTGGCTTAGTTATGATTGATTTCCTATTTTAATTCAAAATATCATATTGCAAACTGTAAAGGTATACAGACTTCGGCTTCCCGGAGAGTTAGCTTTGTTTCTCGTTTATTTATTGGGTTTTAGGTTTCAACTATATAAAGTTTACGTTAACGGTTGTCAACTGACAAAATACAAGTAAAAATGTGAATATTTATGGCTTAATAAAATAATCAGTATGAAAACCATCTGTCGAAACCGTACATCAATCATTGTAGCCGTAAAAATAACCACATTTCATGAGAAGTATACTAAGTAAACTTTATACCATGTACTTTAACTCTTTAACTTTTTCTTTTTTGCGTTACCTCTGAGCTCTCAAAGGCAAGAGGATCAGCTCAGACCTGAACTCACCAAAACGGTGACTTGTCTGGGAGCTGAAAGAGATTATACATTCCCTTCAGGATTTCAGGATGTTTCTTTAAGAAGAATAGCTCTACTTTCTAAAGCCACCGCCCGTGTCAAAAAAAAAAGAAAATATATTATTGAAATATTCGTTTATGTTTAAAGTACATATGTTGTTGTTTTATTTATGCCTACAAAATATCAATTTATACAAATTAAAGAACATATACAAATTCATTATATATACATACACTAAGGCTGGCCCCAGAACACGACACTTTTGTAGTTATTCCTCTTCGGATATCTTTACTTTCGGATTGCTAAACACACACGCGTTAAATATATACATATTTATAACATTAAGCTCCGTTCCAGCCTTAGTTTACACATATATATCACTGGGCACATATTTTAGTTTTTCCCCCCAATGCGAGCGAGAGAGAGAGAGAGACAGAGAGAAAGAAATCACTTATTGTTCTTTGCCGCAGTCAATGATAAAAACTCATCCTTTCGAGCCAAGTATTCATTGTAACGAAGAAATGCATAGCTGTAAAGAACAATAAAATATTATTAGGTATTAGCTTTTGAATGTGTAAGTCTGTGGGTGTCGATCTTAATTCTTCTGTATTCTCATTACACACATGTGTGTTCATATTATTTATTCAAGTGGCGACGACAGACAGAACAGGAACATGCTTATATCAAATATTAAAGATTGCAATCGGGCTGCTTTCTCTTTATCAGCATTTTTATACGCATATTCTTGATAACAATGAGGAAATCTAAAGACTTTTAATCGTTCAATGTTCGCATTCCTATTTCGTCATATTCATTCTTTTGCTTTATCTAGGGGGAAAATATTTGTTTTTTAAAGTCATATGTGAAAATAACAATTTACATTTCCAAGAGCAAAATGTATATCCTAAGGAGGAGAAACATTGATGCACAAATGTTTTCGATCATCGATGCT